TCTCTCTATAGTTTAGATATAATTTCGCATATATACAGAAGAAATGTACTTTGAGCACTGACTATCGCGTGTGTGTTTCTTGTTTGTATTATGATAGAGAACTAATTTTTTTTTTAATATTTCTCAAGGAAGTTCCTCCACCAGGAAATCGAGATTACATATACCGCTTTTCGTTATACATATTCAAAATAGAGAATATCAACTTTTTCGATTTCCAACTAATCAAACTCGTCTCGCGCGCAGAGATAAATATCGCGTATCTAAAATATTCTTTTTTTTTTGCAAGGAAGGAGAGAGATTTAAAAAAAAAAAAAAAAAAACGGTGCGCTGTAATACATGTATACGCGCGCGGAATATCAATGTGTGCATCAATTATTTCGTAGAGCGGATCGATCAGACGTCAAAAGCAGATCGGGAAGTCCCGGGGGAAAAAAAAAAAAAAAAAAAAACAAATGCAAAAAAACGCGTTTCGATAAGTAAATTCGTTGACTAGATGACGTAAAGCTCTGTCACGATGTGTAACGGTGTAAGTCTGTCTGTTTTTTGCTCGCCTCTTAGGCCTTCCTGGTAAAACGAAAAGAAGAAGAATTAAACGCGGTGCGCGCAATCCCGTGACTATCGCGCGAATCTTTTTATTACTCGACTCTGCTATTTCTTTTTTCTTCTTTCGCAATCGTTTTTTTTTTCTCGAGGTCTTTTCTTAGCGAAAATATCGAATATTATATTGTTACTTTTCTTTCTCCTAACTAAAATCTCTAATTAAAACCTCTCCTAAAGTCTCAACCTGGAGTCGATCTTATTTTATTTTATTTTATGTTTGTTTTTACAACGCGTGTGTGATTTTTTTTTGATATATACTTATTATCTCCGAAATCTGTTTCGCTCATCACAGAGGTCCGAAAATAATACTCAATGCGGAGAGAAGGGGAAGAGGAGGAGGAAGTCCCGTGTGTGTAAATGCGTCCTCGTGTGAATTTGTTTATATTCGTGTGCGGAGATGTGTTATCTCATGTACGTGTAAAAGTAGAAGATACGCGCCCCGCGTGTGTGGTGCTCCATAACGAGAAAGTCTCCGAAATGTGCCGAGAGAGGATCGTGTCGAGGCGCGGTTTATCATATATCAGTTCATGAGAATGGGTTAAATCGAAGATAAAAGACTGGAAAAAGACAAAGTATGCGGTGTATGTATGTGTGTGTGTGTGTGGATTTGTGTAACAACTATAGTATATAATTATAGAAAAGCGAAAAATGGATCAGCGATTCTACCATCTCTCTCTCTCTCTGTCTCTCGTTCACACTCTTTCGCGAACCGGTCGCGCAAACCGGTACAAAATAATCTGTCTAGGAATAAATATTTTTGTATATATTACTATCCGCTTCCTCGCGCGCTAACGCATTTCCACAACGACCGCTATATATCGCCGATAACTAAAATAATAATTGCTCATTCGAACACAAGTTAACTACTTTAGCACCAGAACGAGTCGTCGCACAAAACGACGGGTTTCAGATTTCTTATTCTCTTACTTGCAGAAATCCGTCCTGAATAGTTTTGCTAATCATGAAATGCGCAATATGACGAGTACAAAAACACACTTAAACGAAAAGGAGCGCGATCACGACAACAAGCTTGATTTGACTGAAAAAAGGAAAAAGTCAACTCAATGTTTGCATCATGGAATTGTCGCAAGAACGTATTAAAATCGTCTTTCTTTGCATCTGTGGCTCTGTAGATCTATTCGGTTAGTTCACACGCCAGTCTCTAAGTCGTTACATATTCTCAAAACGTAAGAGGAGATTGGCGCAGTAGGATTGGTCCACTGGTCTCGCAGCCTGAGTGCAGGAGTTGCGAACACGGAGATCCCGAGTTCGAAGTCCGCTCATCACCTTAGGATTTTTTTTCGAACCGATTCCTTTCAATCGAGTCGATCGATTGATACCCAACTTCCGCTGATAAGGTTTCGAACAATTTTATCTAAAAGATAAAGTACATCTTTTTGTATATCTTTATCCAGAGAATAGCTATCGAGAGGTACGAAGAAATCGAGTCTGATTGGCGAACTGAATCGGCAATTGATTCGAGTGTAATCTCGAATTAATCCCCCTCCCACAAGGCGGTCATTGTCATATTGTCAACACAACCCACCACTCCCCTTCGTTCTGAGAATACATAGACACTTGGAATGGCCCAACGTTCGGTCCGAGAGCCACAAGTGCACCAAAACCAGATTGTGCGGTACACTACTACCACGCGATACACGGCCGTCTTTTCACAGTGGGCGTGTCGGGCTTCTGCTCAGATGTTATGACTAAGATTTCCTTGTATGAGAAGGAGATTACACACTCGCGAATTTAATTTTTGGAGGCTCGATTCAGTTCGCCAATCAACTCGATTGAAAGAGACCGGTCCGGAAAAATCCGTAGATGTGGGGATTCGAGAACCTCCCTACTCGCAGACCCCTACTTCAGATCACGAGACCACTGGACCGGTGGCGAAGTGGTTACTGGAAGAAAAACGTTTGAGATGTAACAATGTTCGAAAACCAAGCATCCATAATCGCGCTCGGTAATCGTTTGGCGCAGAGCACTGCTGAAGTGGAAAGAATACACAGTATAAATTCAAACGCGACGGAAGTTTGCGAACAAGAAAAAAAATACAAAATATTAAAAGTCTTTCTAAAAGCTCTTTTTTGTTATTAATTAATTATTTTTAATATTAAAGAAATTAAAAATAAGATTAATAAATTGTTCAAACTGACACGGACATGTGATAAACGTATATTCAACTCTCTGATTGTTTCTAATGTCAAAAAAAATAAGAAGTGTGAGAAGTAAAAAAACACTCTCTCTCTCTCGATGCGATTTTCACCGGATCGTATTTTCGAAAAAAGCTCATTTTCCCGAACCGTCTCAAATCGGTAGTTTTTTGCACAGAGAATGGAGATAGCTATGGAATGTTTCTTTAACATACATTTTTTAACACAGCCAGTAACGCACGTTTTCTCCATTGAAAACAAACAAAATACAAACTCGAGACGATCGACGAAAGTGAAGTTCTTCTTCGCGTTCGCGCTTCGAATTGAATTGCGACAACGAAAGCAGGTTGTCACTTCACGTGTGCGCCGCGTGTACATTCAACGTTTTTTAGATTACGCGACAGTTTTACGCGATCGAAACGACGGTTTGATATCTCTGGGAGGAAGAGAGAGAGCGAAAAAGCGCGCGCGGCGAACAGAAAATGTCACGGCGCGGCGGTTGTATAATCGCGTCGAACGCTCGAATAAAATCGCGAACAGGACATCGAACTTGTTTCTTTCTCCCCCCCCCCCCCGCGCGCGCTAAGAAAGTTTTCCGCTCACGCGAAGTGCGTTCGCGTGTCTTCGTTTATTAAGAGCGGATTGTTTAGAAAAAAAAAAAAAAAAAAAACACTTAATCTGGAAATCCAAGAGAACGAAATCGGTCGTTGTGCAAACGCACGCGCCGCTGGACGATTTCCGGTTTTTTAAAAAAGGCAATCACCTCGGCTTTTTTGTTTTTTCACGCGCAAGCACCGCAATTTTTGCATTTCAGCAACACACAAATACCGGTATAAAATAATTTCACATTTGCGCTCTCTTTTTCTCTTTTTGTTTCTTTCTTTGTTTTTTTTTTTTTTTTTTCTTTCATCTAATCAACACATAAAACTGTGCGTTTTGGAACGAAGACTTAAATAACGTCAGACGCTTTGGAAGGGAATCGCAGCGCGCAACGTGCAGTAGTTATGCAAAGCGTGCGTATGCGATTTCGCACAACCGCATGCGCGAATGTATTGAGTCAATGCGGAAGTTTCGCCGTGCGTTTCTTATTAATAAAAAAAACCTGCAAACTGCCCCTCTCTCACGTTCGTACGGAAAAATGATTAATCACAAGTGCCACGTTGCAATTGTCAAAATTTCAACGACATTCTCAACGCGCGACGACAGTTCGAGAAAAAAAAATCCCGAAACAACATAAGAAAAGCATGGCGGAACATTCGGATCTGAAAATATCTGCAATGTTCTTTTTTTTCGCAAGATTCGGTTGCGCCCAATTTTCGCGCGACTTCTAAAAGTTAAATTGTCCTGGAAAATATTTTGTTTTGTTTTGTTTGTTTGTTTGTTTGTTTGTTTTTTTTTTAATTAACTTGCACTTTTTACATCTTACTATATTTCCGATCTCTCTCTCTCTCTCTCTCTCTATTTTAATAACGACCTCTAAAACTGCTAACTATAACGACATCGATGGACGAAACGATCGACGAGCGTTCCTCTCAAGGGAAGCAATCTCGCATTTTGTTTAAATATCTATTCTTCATTAATTTGTCAATTTGTTAACTAATGAATTTCTAAAAGAACACACGTTCCTCGCTCTCTTTTTGATATGCTCGAAACGCGGCCCTCCTTCTTTTTTTTTTCATTTACTTTCAAGATTGCAATTCGCATATCTCTCTCTGATTTCTGCCTTTCCTTCTCTTCTTTACACGCTTTTTCTCACATTGACGTTTTTTTCCGTATATATATATATGTATATAGTATTATCGAGATGATAATTTATTATATTTTTTTTCTTGCCTCTCCTTCGAGGCGAACACCGACGTTTTCACGCGAAACATCCTCGCCAAACGACTGACGCTCGATTCAAGGTTTCGCGACGCAGGTGGTGGGGATAGAAAATGAAAGAGTGTTCAGTCTATGTCGATCACATCCGTGTTTTCCGCTGATCCCTTTCGCTGTCGCAGTTTCCGGCGCAGCAGGACCGATTTCAGGATGCTGGACGACCGTGGACCCGCGACTTCCGGCCGCGGGAGATTCTGCTACGCCACTTTGTGCCTCTTCCTTTGCTCTCTCCGCGTCGCGCTCGTGCTCGGACTGCCGCCGCCGCCGCGGGAGATTCTGCTACGCCACTTTGTGCCTCTTCCTTTGCTCTCTCCGCGTCGCGCTCGTGCTCGGACTGCCGCCGCCGCCGCTGCCGCCGCCGCTCCCGCCGCTGCCGCTGCCGCCGCCCTTCTCGCAATCCGCCGTCGGCATGGGTTTCAGTTCTCTGTAAAAGGACAGAGGAAATGACGTTGAAGAATCCCCTGTCGCGTTCTCTCCTTCGCGAACTCAAAAGCGCCAAGCGACACAAAACAACGAACTTTACTGATATGATAATTTATGAAGATCGCCGCTGCACTAATTAAAATTATCACACTTGCTTTAATTTAACTTCTTTCACTTGCAATTTATTTGCAAGCAATCACGTCCAGACATGCCATCGCTATCTCTGTCATTTTTATGCGAACAACAACCTTAACACTTAAATTCTCTTATTCGTCTACCTGTATAAAATCGTTATATTAATTTATTTTATATATATATATATATTCTTGTTAGTTAAACTATTTTATTACTTAAAACTTTCTGACAAGTGCGGCTCTCGTTATTGCGTAAAAAGCTTACGACGAGTTGGACTCGTTTCAGTGCGAAAAGTTAATGCATTAATGTGTTAACAAATTATTATACACATACACATTTATATACATACTATATATTTTTTAGATCATACGAAAGAGTAGATTGTTATAATTAGAATATGTAAAACAGAGATCCAGAGCTGTGTGTGTGTGTGTGTGTGTTTATCTTTTAAATGTTAGGAAACTGAAGACGCACGGCTGTGCGAGAACCACGCATTTATACTTGAGTTTCCCGCGACATACGCACGTTCGTTTTTCTACATCTATAATAAGCGAAAGAATTCGATTAATCTCGCGATGATATAAACGAGATTTTTCGTTATTCACGTCGAGATTAATGCCCACCTATAATTAAGCAGTTCTTCGTCGTCAGGCACTCTGGATATAAGATCGAGAAGCTCGTTGTTGGGCACGGAGTGAGGCCTGAAGATTTTTCTAGAGAACTTATTGACTCCCCAGGCGAGTATCAGATACCGGACGGGAATGAAGTAGAGCACGATCGCTCCGAGAATCGTCAGGATCATTGCCAGGTAGCTCAGATAGGGTATCGTGAAGTTGAAGAGATTTTTCACCTTCTCGCACAGACTGGCCAGGTAGCCGATCGAGTTCTGCACTGTCTGCGTCACTTCCTGTATCGCCTGCAGACGCTCCTTCAGGCTCTTCTTTTCTTCCTGAGAGAACACAGTCGCGATGTGATTTCCAACATAGAAATTTTAAATTCCTAATATATGTATATATGTAAAAAAAAATTCATTTTAATATAATATAAATAAAATAATTTAAATACATAATATAAATAAATAATAAATAATAATACAATATATAAATAATAATAAATAATAATATAAATAAATAATAAATAATAATACAATATATAAATAATAATAAATAATAATATAAATAAATAATAAATAATAATACAATATATAAATAATAATAAATAATAATATAAATAAATAATAAATATATATATAACATACATACATGTAAATGTAACATAACATTTTTTTAGAGATTATACAGAATATATATACAGAGAGATTGTAAAATACAGAAACAGAAACAGAACAGAATTGCAGAGAAAAGTTTCCAAGAACACCTCATAGAAAAACAAAAAAAACAACCTCCAATGAAGAACTCGGGTGAAAATTAATGACAAGAAAAAAAAATTAATGTGTCTTCCGACTGTTAGTTGGATTTCTGCGTTTCGCCGAATGAATTTTACGTAAATCTAAATAAAATTATTTAGTACAAAAAAAACCGCGCAACGCCGTAATTAAATTTGCATGACAAAAACACGTGGCTACTCGGTAAAGTAAAGATAACATCTTTATCCGGATATATATACCGTGTTGACATTGTCATGAACGCGAAGCGTAACGAGGTGCACAAAACAGTCTGCGGTGGCGCGTAATTCTTAACACTTGAGCTTATTACTCTGACACAAGAGAGACACCGATCCGCGTTGATAAATTTGCACAAAGGTCGAAGGTCGCGATGCGCAAATTTATTGAGTGCAACGCCGAGTCTTTCTCCGATAGATAAATAATAAGTGAAAACGTTTATTGCCTCTTTGTGTATTCATCGTTATCTATGCAGCGTCAATTTATAATAATTTATGACGATTGTACGAGTCCAACACAGAACCGTACTATCGCGCGCGCGTGTCGTCGGGAACATTTAAAAAGAATTGTTTTTCACGACGATTTTTCTCAGTCCAATAAAACACATTTTCTACGCTTCTCTTTATCGTGTCTTTGTAGTAAAACAAATTCAAAACAATGGTTTAGTTTATTTTATAAAAAAAAAAAAAAAAAAAACACGACAAAATATCCTTTCGTAAGAAATTACCTCCGTGTAACCGAGTAATCTAGACAGGCTCCTGCTTGTGTGGAAAAAAACCCGATGACAGTTACCTTATCTTTGTCGTCTTCATCGTCATCGTCGTCGCCCGGCGTCGGCGGACAGTCGTCGGATCCGATATCGGGTCCGTGATCTTGAAACTGCGAAGTCGCGTAAATCAAAGGTGCGCCCGTCATCGCAGCGACCTGCCCGCAAATCCAATGATTGAACCCGCTCCTCTCGCCGCTAAGCTGACAGGTAGCAAAGAAATACGACATGCAGCATCGCCAGAAAAGAAAACAAAGCGAGCGTCAAAGAGTTGCGTCTAGATGCGGGAGAGTTAAAAAATGTACGCAAGATGGGCGCATTAGAAGAATGGATTTCAGACGAAAGCGAAAACTGTACAGTTTTTTTTTTGTTTCGCGTTCGGTTTTCTTAATGAAAAATCAAGAAATTATTTTCATTGACAGAATTAATTAATTAAAGAAGTTTTCGTTCACCACGTTACATCCCATACATACACACGAGAGAGTTTGAAAAGAAAAACACAAAAACGATTAACAAGCGCATGATTGTTCAGAGAAAGCGTATGCCTCATTCGTCGGGAATGACAATAATAATAATTATATAACGAGTCACTGTATATATGTACATACTTATGGCCAGTGGATCTGCGAAAGGCAAATAGAAGGAGCGAAGAATAAAGACTAAAGAGACACAAAGAGAGATTTAGAGTAATAGAGTTAAAGTAGTAACAGGCGACTGTCCCAGATGTAAGCCGCGTCTCGGCGATACAAGTCATTTTTTTTTGGCTGTAAATTTCATTATCCAAATTAATTGTTGAGTATTTGAAAGGAAATGTTAATATATTTGTGTTAATATATTGTTGTTGTTGTTTTTTTTTGTTTTTGTTTTTAAACTGCGTTGTACCACTGGTAACGTTGTTGCTACTTACGTCTGAGACAATTCCGTTGTAGTAGTAAGCGTTTATGCAGAAATCAATTAAATCTTCTAAGGATCCGTAAGGTCGTGCTGGCTCGAGTTTTAATCCCTTGCATTGGCAATCAGCAAAAACCTGATGACTTAAAAGCTATAGATTTAGCAGTTAAAAGAAATACTGCGGATAAAAAAATTTATAAGTTTTTCCTCCAATCGATCCTAGAACTGTTTTTCTTATCGTGTGGTGATATGTGTTCGGAAAATGAAAAAAACAATACAATTCTGGATACGGGTTCTCACAACGACGGCGCGGGATTAAAACTTGGAAGAGATTAATCGATACAATAATAAACATATATTGACGTACCAGATAAACGGAATGACGTACCAGGTAATACTTGACGAGAATAAGTAACGCCACGCCCGGTATCATGTAGGGTTCGAAGTAATAGCATCCTAGAATAAAAATGACGAGGGCGACGATGCTCCTCATCTTGCTCTCCCACTCCCAGCAGCTCCTAACCGTAGAAAAGAAGCGAAAAATAGTATTACAAACAGTTACGACGAGAAAATTTAAGAAAACTAGATCTATATTTTACTTCACACAAGTTGTGTTTTCTAGCCGAAAAGTAGCCAAGGAGATTGCATGAAATTTCTATAAAAAAAAAAAGCAGTATCTTATTTTTCTTTTTTTTTTTTTTATAGGATTACACACATTTTCTTTGTACGAGGTATACTTGTGCTATTGTTATCGCCAGAAAAACGCGATGTTCTTCAACACAATGCCACTCACTGTACATATTTCCCGATGTCGATGAATATGACGATGATGGCCTTCAGTCTGAGCACGTTTCGCAGAAAGACCTGTCTCTTGAACTTCACCTCCGGCTCCATGTACTTCTTCTCCTTCGGATTGAGCGTTCTTACGCACGCTCGGAATATATTCCACACCACGGTCATCTCGAGAAGAATCTGGGGACAGTTGCCCTTCGCGCGGCCTCTCAGCTTCTTGTCCTTCAGCGCGTACCATCGTTTCTCGCCGTTGCGAATCTTCAGCAACGGTATCGCCACCTTTCCGAGAAACTCCACCTTGTGATCCCGGTCCTCGTCGTACACCGTCACCTCCAGGACGGAGTTGATGTCCTTCACGTTGCTTGAAAAACAATAGAAACATCGTTAGAAACAAATGCCACCGACGTAAGAATCAAGTTGCGTTTTGAAAGGAAAAAGAAACTCACAAAGTGAAGATCTTCTGCCAGTTCGGCGAGAGAGTCTTGTATTCCGTCTGCGTTTGCAGCCTCGAGTTCACGAGCTCCAGCACGCAGAAGGGATCGCTTTTACCGCCGAGATCAGCAGCCGCGAGACCTTGGGCGCGATACACCTGCGTTAAAAGTTGACGAAGTTGATGATGACTAAAAAACTTCTTTTTTTTTTTTCAGAATACACCCCGTATATTAATTATTATCGTTCTTCTTCAAAGCGCCTCAACAGGCTCTAAGAAAGTTAGCACCCCAGTACATTAGCACATTAACAATTAACGCTAATTAAACAGACAAATTAATACGACTTGGTATACAATATATCAATCTAACTAACACTCGCTACGCGCAACCAAGTAGGAAAAATCCTTCTTCGATTAGATCTGTTATCGAGGAAAATAAATTTCTTGATCACTCATTGTGAAAACTAAATGAAACAACAACTGAATAACTTTCGTCTTAACTTCCCCACTCTCCCAGTCTCTCTTGTGCATTTGAAGAATTTCTCCTATTTGGTTGCGAGTAGCGAAAAAAGTTCTGCCAACACTCTCTCGTCCCACGTTTCCTACAAATGAATTTTAACGAAATTGTTGCGCGTCGTCAAAAGAATTTCCGCAATCTTTAATTACATACCTTCACCGTCAGGTGACCCACGTCGCGTATCCTCTGCAGAGTGTTGACAACGGCGTATCGCTGAACCAACTGTGTGCGCTCCATCGGGTTTTCCTCGTGCGCGGTCAAATCGCTGATCGTCTCGCTGGCCGTGGTGCCGCTTATCGTCAGCAACAAGAAGATACTTCCGGACCCGTCCTCGAGCTCGCGCCACAACCGATGCGTGGTCTCGCGCTCGAGGGTCGCCAGATCGATCATCGTCTTGCCCATCAGATCGTCCTGGTGACTCTTGTCCCGGTCCCAGACCGTCACCTCCAATTCCTGTCCGAGATACGGATCCTCGTAGAGATGGAGATCGAACTGTTCCAGCCAGACTGGATTCAGGGTCTTGTTAACGACTTTCGACTTGTACTTTTCCGTGCCGAGGCTGCAAAGTGAGACGTTGGCGTTCCGGTTTTTATTGGCAGAACTTCTGCCGTTCGAGAGAAAATGATGAGGGTCTCTGTTACAATATTTCTCGAATTCTTTTGTCGCATTAACGTCAAAGTGCACAACGCGTGGATTTACGACGGGGAATAGTAAATTTGAAAAAAAAAAAAAAAAAAAATTCTGTGCGACGCGCGATTTCACAAAAGCGAAACTTTAAGCGTAAAAAAATTCGAAACGATTATTCGGAACGAAAAAAATGCGAGACTCACCGAAATTTTACATAAGGATCCGATAAGCCGTCTATATCCATCGGTAACAGATTCTTCGCCTCCACGAGAACAATCGTCACCACCGAACTCCATATTTGCGATTTCAATCGTCTATTCACGTCCGCCAATCGATTGGTCTTCTGGAAATACTGCAACGTTGTAGAAATGGGACGCTAAATAAAATTATCGTTACAAAAGCCGATGCACAGGACTATATTATCTTCGCAGCCTGTGCAATTATCGGAAATTGGCGACAAGAGACCTCGGGTATTTAAACTCGGAAATTAATCAAAGTCCTTTTCGTGTTGTCGGGAAAGTCTTCGTGAGAAAAAAAAAATATATATATATAATATAATTGGCGGAAAATAAATTTCCGCGTTAATTCCGATTTATTATTTTATTGCGTTGCTCTTTCCCCGTTTGTAAAAAAATGTTCGTATATCATATCGAAATAAATTTATTAAACCTCGCGAGGCGAAGACACAATTTGTTTTCCGTAACACAAATCACAATCATCGACGAAAAAAATAATAAACATTTATTTCGATAAGAGTTACTTGTAAAAGAATTATATATTTTATATATATTTTTTATTTTCTCTACCCTGTGAATATCCTCCATCTTCTCTTTGACGTTATCTTTCAGTTTATCCAAAAGATCATAACGTTTGACCTCCTTCACTTCCAAAACGCCGGGATCGATCGGCACGTTTGCGTCTTCTTTCACAATTTCCGCGCCCGAGGACACATCCTCTTGCTTTTTCAGCTGCGCGGTCGGTTCGAAACGATTCGGTTTCGGAGAACCGGCTCGATTCCGCAGTTTTCGCAGATGTTCGATCACTTTTCTCTCGATTCTCGGCTCCCGATTCTCCGCTTCTCGATCGTCCATCGGCACTCTACTCTCGATCTTCGGCTCTTCGTTCTCGCTCGTCGCCGCCGTGAATTTGAAATCGTACGTCGGCATCGCGTCCCGATCGGCGTCTTGTTGACAGTGCGTCAGGGTGTAACCGGGGGTGGGTTTGTAACGATCGGCTATCCACGATTCGATCGGCTGCAGCCACGGATGCTTCTCCACGTTTTCCTCCAAGATCCGCTCGACGTGGTCCTCCAACATCCTCTCGACCGTCCCCACTTTTCGCTCGAGCGAACTTCTTAACAAACTCTTCCCCTTCTTCCTCTTGCTCGCGAGGCCGCTTCTGCTTTCGGCGAAGGATCCTTCGGCCACTTGTTCGGCCTTCCGAACTCCTGTTATCGCCGACGTTCGATCCAACTTCGCTTTTTCGTCTTCTCCTTCCGCGCCGCTCGAGTCTTCGTTCTTCGTTTTTTCGAAAATCGATCCGTCCGCGAGTTCTCCTCCCGTCGTTTTCGTCCGCGTTTCCTCGATCGCGGACGTTTCCTCGACGATTCTTTTCGATCTCTCGCCGCTCTTCGTCGCCGAACTCGATTCTCGCGAGTCTTCCTCCCGCTGAATATTCTCGCGACTCGATTCGGAGATACGATCGGCGCTCCCTTCATCAGCGTCCCTCCACATCTCGACGTTCTCCTCGAATTCCCGTCTCGACAGACGATCCACCGTCGCGACGGAGCGACATCGTTGATCCACGTGCGGTTTTCGACGCAATTTTCTCGGCGGCGCGCTGATATCGGATGATTTATCGGCGAACATTAATTTCGCCTCGCTGGATGTCACATCCGCGCTAATGGACATTACGCGAACGTCGTCGGACGGAGCGATGTCGACTTCAGACGCGACGTTCAACGTCTTCGATGAAACGACAACCTTTTTGTCGGACGTGACATCAATGTCCGAAGCAACTTCGATTCCGGGCTTAACGTCGAGCCCAACGGTGACGTTTCGCTCGGACGAAGACTCTATTTCGGTTGCGATGTTCATCCTCTCGATGCGAATCTTCGTCGTTTCAACTCGACCACGTGGTGTAAATTCCGCGTGTCTTTCGTCGATCACACGTCTCTCGCCGTGGCATCGATTCAAAAAGAAAACCGTCCGCTCTATTTTTGTCGGCACTCCTCTTACGAGCTTCCCGGATCAAGGTCGCGTCGCTATCGTCTTCCGACCGAATCGCATCCTTCCCAACGCTGACGAACTCGCGTAATCGCGAACAGAAAAATCCTCCCGACGTGAGATCAGAGATTTCGTTCTGTTTTTTTTTTTTTTTTTGGTTCACGTGCGTTACTTAACTTGTCGCCGTATTTAATTATACCGTGAAAAATGTTTTGCATGAAAAGAACTTCGGTCGTTGAATGAAATTGCACAATGTGGCAGTAATGAACAAGTCGCCATTCAACAACGCGATGAGTCAACCCACACGCTACTGAGAAACCTTAATAATTCTGTTTTTTCCTCTATATTGAATATTCCATTCTGAAACAGTGATGTGTAATGAATTTTTGTTCGCGTTCTTTTTTTTAAATTTAGTAAAAATTTATTATCAAACGACATTCACGTCGTTTGATAATAAACCGACGCTCGCACACACGAACATCATGTAAATTGGCCTTAATATCTTTATTTATCTCTTAAACGAGCTCATTTAAGTTATTATTAAAAACAGCTTGTTTTCGTAAATTGAAAGATATTAAAAAAAAAAAACAATAAGTAAACGCGCGTTAGATTATTACTTCGTTAGATTATTACTTAATATAACATTTTTAATTTGTTCGCTTACAAATGGGTCTCATTCTTCTTATTCTAAAACATTAAAAACTTTATATTTGATCCGTTGTTATAGATCGGTTGATGATGATGAAAAAAAAACAAAATTTAGCGAAACGTTCCGTTGAGAAAAAAAAAGTGTTTTTGTCTCCAATTATATTCAAACTACCATCCGTAGATCGCAGCTCTTAAGTCGTTTTTTTTTTTTTTTTATTCGTATTTCTTCCTAGAAGCTTAATTTATTATTTGATTAAAAATTCTATATAAAACATAACAATATTTTACTAAATGTTTCTCAATCCGTATACAAAGCTACACAGATTTCAAAAATAAACATCTGTGCGGAAAAGAAGAAATACACAATACACATCGGAATATATAAATATTATATGACGCGTACACTAACGTCACACTTGTACAAACTAACAATTCGACCAACGAATTTTTTTCTACGCACCGCGCACTCTGATCTCTTCACACTTGACGCACTAACGACGTTGTCTGATGACAGTTGCTCGAGAGAGCGATAACGCTTGCGAAATGTGACGTTCATACGCGCGCACTGACTCGCGGGTCCACTTGCTCGCAAAAAAAAAAAAGCCCAAAGTGCAAACCCAAGATTATTCACACCTTCGTGTAACAACTCGTCACACGGTATGTTGCACAATATAAATACGCACGATATCGTTGATTAGCATGACCGATGAGTCATGTTGAAAAAATAAAGTCGGATAACGCTCGATCACGTGCGTGCGAACACACCTGCGGTACCGACCGACAGAAAGCCTTCCTACTCCTTCTTATCTAACGACGAAACTTGTTACTTAACGAGCGATAAACTCTCCGTACCGGTAATGCTGTCGTCTCGAATCGGACGTTGCGCGCTGATAAAGCGTCGCGATGTACTTTATCGCGTTTCGCGATACGTATTGCGCGGAGGAAGACTAACGTCGTCGTCTAAACGTAATTGAACCTCGTTGGCAACTGGCAAAACCACGCTGTTACCGGCTATTTCCTTTCCCTCTCTCGCTCTATTCATACCGGGAAATAAACGCGCGCCGTCGATAAGCATTGAGACGTGTGTACGTATACACACGTTGCCGCGAGCACGCAACGCGATCTGCTGTTTTTCGTCTCACAAAGAGACATAAAGGAGGAATGAAGCTCAAGAAAGACAATATAGCTCGATGCGCGGAAATTATTCACAAATAAATCCGGCAAAAGTTCAATAAAATATTCACAATTCTCTTCTCCGTCCGTTTAAAAGTTCCGGATGCTCGAAGAAGTATTACTTAAAAAGTTCGAAATTAGAAAAATCTTACGTACACAGCATTTAGAGACGCACGAGGTATAAAATGTTTAAAGAGAATATATTTTTTAAATATTTAAAAGATAAAAAACTTCAACTGTGATATCGGAGCGAAATAATTCTGAGTCGCGCTGGTCGGGAAATTAAACGATAGTTTTTTTTTTTTTTTTTCGGGAGCTTAGTTTCATCAGCGCTTGCAAAATACGTAAATACCGACCCGACGACGGCGCGGTTTTCTCGAAATAAAAACGGGCACAAACCCGTTTTCAACGGTGATAAGTGCCGCGGCACAGGCCATCACCGTAAATCAGTATTAATTCGCAAATTTGATTTAAAACGCGCGCGACGCATAACGTATATAATGAACGATCCTCTCTCCTTTTCCCTCCTCGTCCAAGTGCTCACTTAATTTATTTCTCGCGGAGGGGGAGGATGACGCGGGAGTTTTATAGTTAAACGCGTAAAGTGGGAGAGCTGCGCCGCGATAAGGGCCACCACCAATACGGGCCACAGGCCTTGCACTCCACTTTCAACGACAAGTCGATACGGGCGCGCGTTTACTTCCCTCACAACCCAGTTTCCCGATTCTTCGCGTACACGCTATAAATATACGCACACGAGACGCGCACATCCATCTCTTCGCCGATCGACGTCGTGATCGCTTTATTGTTATGTATTATCGTCCGTCGCGGATCCTTTCGATTTGACTCCTCACACGAAGATCCGTTAAATGAACACTTTTGACGGCGCTATACCTTCCTCGAGCATTGATTTGCAAAAGAATTTGCGCGCGATCGATCACGTTATCACGCGAGATTGAGACCGAAAGTAAACAAGAAAATGAGACGAGAACGTAAATGTTATCGGTAGATAAGTACCTGCTCCTTATCGTGTTGATTCTTCGGCCAAAGGGTAGCCGTCAAGAAGATTTCGCCCAAATGCTGCTTCGGTCTGGCCGAATCCTTGAGTTCCAACGTTATATCCTGCGGGTGTCCGAGATCGAGTTGCGTGAGATCCAACTGAGCGGCTCCCATGAAATCATCCTGCAGACCCCAGTCGTAATCGAAAACCTGCGGAAACCGTTTTGGTGCGAACAACACTTTTTTGCGAAGCAATATTTTTTTTTTATTCCGAAGAAGGGATCAAACAATTCACTTAAAATCGTCGTCTTTCAAACCCCCGAGAGGCGAGGAAATATTACCTTAATGGTAAGCGGCTGAAAAGGATCTTCTATGGGCAAGGTCACACTTTCATCCCAAACCGGATTTAGGTCGCGATGAACGGTGCGCGATTTGTGCAGCAGTCGTCCTAAACATTTCACCTTCACGTAAGGATCGCTGGCGCCTGAAACGAACAAGCAAAGAAGCACATCGAACCGCGCGTCGTAATATTTTATATGTGTTGCGCATCACCCGAATAGAAAGCACTTCGATCTCACAAATGGATTCGAACTGCCGCACATTTGATTTTATTGACGATAAAACGCGATAACACGTGTTCAATAAGTTTAAATGAAAAATTTCTTCACTTTTAAACACTTTTACGACTTTACTCGACTAATGCGTTTTACGTATATAAATTTTACATAAATATTTTTTAAATTCCATTGGTGGATTAAAAGTGAGCAGTTTATATAGATGCGAAGTGGCGTTCTGTGTGGATTTTAGAATTTGTTATTCAACTCTGAATTTTCTATGCGTGTTAATTTTAACGTGAAAAAAATGTATATTTCTTGATTCAATCCCAATTCTGTAAACTCCGGATATTATAATTGGGATTTTTGAAAATAATAAAATCTTATTATTCAGTGGAAGAATATCTAAAACATCAAAAAAATTCATATTAAAACTAACGTTATTTCCTGAATACAGAATGAACAAAGCCCCATGAATTTTTACAGAGTTTTTGCGACGAGTTTCAACCGACGAGTTTTTTTCAATAAAAAAATCGCGTCAGACATAAATGTTTACAGGGTTTATGCAGATTATGTACGTAAAAGAAAAAGTTTACAGGATTAGGATTAAGATTTTAAAAACACGTTTATACGTATTGAGAATCGTATATTGTTTAAAAAATAATGCGTTTTTATATTTAGAAAATATAGTTTGTGTGAGAAACAAAGATCTGTGAAATTTGATTTCACGTACCGCATCTGTCCATCGCGACGAGATTCGTGCCCCTTCTTATATGCAAACGAAGCTGGAAGAAGGCGTGTTGTCGCAACGCCTGTTCCCTCTTTCGCGTCGCCTCGTCCTGAAGGAACTCGTCGCCATCCTGAATGACGATGTCCTCGTTCGCTTCTTTCTGATTTAAAAAGGTTACGGATCCCTTGGAGAATCCTTCGCCGCATTTTCCGAGGTTGTCCTCCTGCACGGTCACGACTTTTTCCCGACCGCCGCGTGCCAAGGGAGATTCTGTGGATTCAAGGCGCGCCAATACGCACGTGTCCCCATCAGTGTTGGCTTTGCAACCGAGGCAAACATGGTAATCACGTTTGCGATTGGATATCCGCAATTTCGCCGCAAACACGAGCCGTTATCGGAGAAATGGAGGAGAAAAAAAAACGTCGATAGTGTCGTAAAAGGTTATATGTTTTTTATCAAATGCAATTGCATGAGTTCTCGAAAATATTATAAACACGAGCCACGCGCGCTCTCACTTGTATCATAAATGATGAAAATACACGCGAGAAGCCTTTTAGATTAATCTGTCTAACTGTTGCGAAACACGTCAGCACGGACACTTTGTGCTGGAGGATTTCGGATCAATCGATATAATGAGGCGTATAAACGTGCCGTGCATAGATATCGACTTTGCTCGGCATTACGTATGAATTGCACGCCGGTACATTCCTTGTTCGTAAACGCTCGAAATGAAGATCTACGGGCTCTGTATTAAAAGCGCGATAATTGCATTGAAGAAACGCTCGACAACGCCGAACGAATACAAAAATAATTGTTCGCATGACAAATAATTTTTGTAAAAAAAAAATTGTTATATAAAAATAATTTCATACAAATTATAAATTTTTTATATAAAAATTATATAAAATTATAATATTTAAATATTTGTTTTGAGTAATTGTTTTAAATGTATTTGTGATTTTTAATTAATTTATACAAGAGACGTTGTCTCAGCGTCAAAGAGTTGTAATTGAATTAAGTGATTTCTTCGTTTTTTGGATTTTTGAAAACCGTTAGTTGTACAAAAAAAAAAAATAGTAGACAATAAAATGTACTTCTGACCCAGATCTGCAACTTTTGTTTAACATGTTTTTCGATATAATCAACAAGTTGGAAGATAATCAAGTAAAATCGATTCTTTGTGCATTTAAATAATTGTTTCAAATGTTAAGAGCCCAGAGGGGCTCTTTGTTCGATCGGGCTGTGAACTTTTTCACAGATTATTTTTTTAGCAATGGAAACCATTCTTGAAAGTTCCTTGAAAAAAATTCAAAACTACATTTTTATCAAGAGTAAATAAGACTCACCTGTAATGTCGACTATTTTATTTTATTCGCGCGTACGTACATTAAAAAATTGCTATATACACACAGTTATATGTTCGTATATCATTAATATATATATATATATATATATTATTTATTCCTGTAAATATATATTTTCCCGAATTGAATAATTAATGTATATTAATATATTGTTATTATTTGTATCCCCGTAAATATATATACATTTCCTACATTTTCGATAATCGAAATTCATTGCGGTCTTGGTTTTGCATTCGAGAGCATGTGCATTTGAACGCGCTGCTAATTTGCATTTTACAATGTATTCTCCCATTGGGAATATTAATTCTCACGACGCAATGTCGACGAAGGTGGATCGATTATCGAGTTCGCAGAATGTGTGTGTGTGTGTGTGTGTGTGTTTGTGTGTTTGTGTGTGTGTCAATAAACTCAATTGATTTCACTTGAGAATACGATAACTTCCTTCCGAATAGTCGTCGGACTTAAATTTTCGACAAACACGTCTCGTTTCCTCCGATACTCTCCGCGAAATCGCATCATCCCACTTGACCCAGACACACTTTGAACAGGTTAAGTCTCGCAACGGTCTAACATAATCATCTACACGTTATAGTCACTTTGCGCGAGTGTGCTTCAACTTTTACTCGAGGTAACACGACTCGCGAAGAAGAAACGATTACGTCGTAGCAAAAAGAAAGTCGATACCCGAATGTTAAAACACCGTTTCTTCGCAGGTCAGGAAATGTGTCGGAAACAAAAAGAAAAATTTATTTTATTTATAACCGCCGTGTGTGTCCCAAGAATAATATCACAACGACAATATTTGTTTTCACAAACTAATATTTCTTTCGCAAACATAAAACGCGCGTAAATGCGCTGTTTTTATGTTTTGATGAAAAATATACAAATATTTAATTTATTATTAAAGATACGTAAACCGCGTTAAAACGAAGGTAAACATCACAGCGTGAGAGAAAACTTGTGTTTGTTCTCTCTCGTTTCTTTATTGAAGAACAAACATTTTCTCGATGAGACGCGGAATATATATATATCGAATGAAAAGCTTTCGAGACGTACTCTTGAGCGAACTAACGTTTAATCAGACACTGTTGAAAACGACGCGAAGGCGCCACTTAGTGTTTCGTCCGCATTGTCTGTGCACGCGCGACAGCGCGGTGATCCAATTCACCGCCGTCTAACAACGCTATGCATAGCGAATGTGTCATAACACGGCGCGCGTATGTCGTGTCGCCGGAAATCTTCTTTTTTTTTTGTTCGCAAAAACTTCAATCCGCGTTTAAACCTTTTGTTCGAACGCGCGTATTTTTGAAATCAGAAAGCGTCAAAGAGACATATTTCTCTTACATTACAGATTTTTTTCAATAAAAAAAAAAAAAAAACCTCGCTCGACGCCCGTCTGTCTTTTTCTTCAAATTTATGCAATTATTCCGTACTTGTTCAGATTGAATAGCAAAGAAAAATACAATGTATATATACTCCACCCGCGCGAACTTTACGTTTCACATTTGAAAGTCAAACCGCGCATTGAGAATCGCGGCGGATATGTGTAATACGTACGTTCTACGTAACGTATACGTGCGAAACTTTGTAACCGGGTCATCAGAGCGTTTCCAGAAGCATTGCGTTACCGATTTTTTATTTTAATCGCTTGTTCCTTTCCCCGTTATAAATTTATATTATTTCTTCTGTGTGATATATGCACATCTATTATTTTTTTTTCCCCGCGATGTAACCGTTTGAAACGTCCTACCTCTATCTTCCCGCTGACAGTTCTAACACCATGTGTAACAATCGAACTCGACAAAATAACGCGGATTTTAGAAATACAGAAATCTATTCACAAAAAATGTTTTAAAGAAAAAACAAGTGTGTGAAATATTACAAAGTTTTGTAACTTGTTAATTGTTTAAATATTAAAGAAATTAAATAGCGAACAAAAATCTTGTAAAAGCTTTTCTTCTTTTTTTTTTTTTTAACAAACTGACGGATGTGACGAGGTACACATTTAACTCTGGTTGTTTCAGCGCTAAAAGCTTGAGAACGTGTAAAACTTCCGCAAGTGAAAAAAAAAGTCGCTCACCCGGATGATTGAGGCAGTGCCTGGCCGGGCTCTGAGTGGCCGAAGAACTTTTGCTGTGCTCGGACGAGTAATCGGCGGCATAATCGGACTCGACGCCCGGATTCTTCAGAGAGGTCGTGTCCTGGCTGGTGTCCTTGGATTTTTTTCTTTCCTTGCTTCTGCTGCGCGCCCAGCGACTCTTCAGAGTCGCGAAAAACGTGTGTGTGCGCTGCGCCACGGACGTCGTGCCGTGATGATGATGACGCGGTTGATGCCGATGATGGCCGGACTCGCCGGATCCATCGCCCCGCCTCGAGGGCGACGAGCTGTTCACGATCTGGTTGTCGCGTAGCTCCGTGGCGCTTTTCGAGAGCTGACGGCTCCCGTTCAGATTTAGTCTGGATCTCTCCTGGGAGCACGTGTTACCTGCAAGAATCGAGGAAAAGAATCTGATTCCGCGAGGTTGTTGCGCAAAGACGCAAATACTCTGAGACTCTTTTGATTTTTATAAAGTGCAACTGTTTTTTTTTTTTTTTTTGTTTGATGGAGGTACCTTAATCACCGAGCGGATAGATTGCGATACAAAAACTAGTTGGATGATATTTTTGTGTTAACATACAAAAACTAGTTGGATGGTGTTTTTGTGAAAAAAAACGCGAGGATCAAATAAAAACCGGTTAATCTGGGTCCTTAAAAGAGAATGTGCAAATATCACAGATACATGTGTTAAAATTAGAGAAATTCCTCACTGTGTCGATAAGAGACTCTCTTGTGTGAACACGCTCTGCTCGAAATGATAAAGATCTTCAAAAATAATCCGCAATTCTAACGTTTCCCATTAGAAAAAAGTTTTTCTTACGAACAACACGGATATTTCACATCAAAAGTAAAAATTCAATCGTCTTGCTCGAGAGATTGCTGTCATTCAGTCGAAATCAGCGTTTACAGATTTTCGTAATGTAACGTTTTGTTAATTAATACGTTTAATTAGCGCAAATGCTTTAAAACCAAATGAAACGCCACAATAAATCCCAACGGATCACAGAGATGTAATCGCGTGGCAAACTGGCTGGACTGTTTGTTTGCAGTTTGCTGCAATTATTTGATTTAATCAAAAGAGTTTATTTTCTCTGATCGGTATGTGTGATGTATATTTATAGAAAACGAATTTCGACAGATCGATTTATTTCGGCCGAATTCCGCGACCGCGGGATAGAGATCGAGAGAAGTGAGGGAAGGAGAGGAGAGGCGCGAACTTGAGGCGCGTGAATGAACATGTTGTAAAGAGAAATGCACACGTGCTTCCGGGAGAATAACAAGGAAATTACATTTATGTGCATTCGCATATCGTGTAAGCATATCGATCCATCTGTATTATTAAACACGGCAATATATGAATATATATGTGTGTGTATATATATATATATGTATATATGTATATATATATATATTAAAGGTCTCGGCATGCTTTGTCCATTATATTTCAGAAATATCAACGTGTCACAGCGGTCGACGCGAATTTCCGACTAGGTGACGACAACATTTGCTTTCTTAATAAACATATTTTTCTCAGTGGAAAATTAAACGCCGTCGTTATATATTTATTTTATTACATTCCGACTACTCGTCAACTCGGGAGAAATTATTCGCGTCAACAATTCCCCGATGAACGTTTCAATGAAAACTCTTTTCGGCAGAATCGAAAGTCGGTTCGATTTTGTTGGTTTCTTTTTTTTTCACGGAAATATCCATGAAATGTGTGTAGCGCGCGAGATCGTGGACGCGCCGTGGATGACGACCAGGAACTCGCATCAGGCAAATGCGTTCGACGTTTATTGGATTTTGTCTCTCGTTCTCACCGGAAATGATCTTAACGCGCCTAATGTGTATTGCGGAAACCAATCCTGGTACTCCAACGATAGACGTACAGCCGGGAATATTGCGCGTCATGGATCAACATCACGTGGCGCGCGGGGGAGAGACGGATAAGAAATTCGATAACCTTTTATTCGTTGAAGAAAAATTGCCGCGATCGTTTTTTTTTTTTTTCCACGATCGTCGGACTCTCGTATAGCTCGTTTATCGTGGCAGAAACATTTTTGAAGTGTCGCGAAAATAAATTTATTCATTTCGTGGAATTTTATTGAGAACGACGGAAGAGAACAAGAAAAGTCCTTTTCGAATGTTTTTCCGACACTCGAGTCACACGTGAAATATAAAAAAAAATTGTAATATAAAATTGAATATAAAAAAAAAACACGACGATAAAACTCGATGTAATTATCAAATTTGTTTCCAATCGATTTTATAACAATATCGATATTATTCTCGCTAATTGCTTTCGGCGTGTTGAGGTCATAAAAAAAAAAAACAAAAAAAACAGAAATTCCGTTCGTTACTCACTCGCAGGTGTTGGCTCACTGTCCTCCGATCCAGCGAGTAACTCCACGCTCTTGCTCATCTTATCCCCCGAAGACGCGAATTGGCTCCCGGGACTGTTGCTTGCGAGGCTTTAGTCTCTTCTTGAAGTGCACCAGTCCGCCGCATTCCGAGGGCATGTTTCGGCCGATAGATTAATGAGCCCCAACAACATCGACCGATCGACACATATCCCGACTTCGCGATGTCCACGTGTTTCCCGACGACGTAGATGGCTTCTGTAGCATCGTATAATCAATATTTTTTTCTCTTCCCCTCCCTTTAAATAAACCGTGTTGATCGGTTTTACTTTCAAGTTTTGTTTGCCACTACCGGGTCAGTCTTGTCTAACGCGCGTGTTTTTTTTTTTTTTTTGATAAAAAACACAAAGGTGAAGATTTTTTAAAGCGATCTCCGGAAGCTCGCTTCTTTCCATCCATCGTTTAAAAGACACGGGCGTTAAAGAGCTTTCCAGCAAATCGTTATTGTTATTTGTGTTACAAAGGTGACGTACAATGAATGTATATGTACGGGTGTATATACAATAGCAATATACTCGCACTTCTCTGTCTCGAGTACGACTGGGAATAAGAGAGAGAGAGAGAGAGAGAAGGCGAGAGAGCGTGGCCTAAATCGAGAAATCCATTTTGAGAGAAGGAACACCCAGTATCGGATGAGATAAATTACAGGATAGTGGCACAAGATTGAGATCTTTTACGTGCAAGAATAAATTTAAAACGTGTGTGACAATTACAAAGAGAGAAAACACACGTTAAAAGTTTAAATAAATATTTGTTTTATATTAATTATCTTATTAATTTACTTGTATGTATTTCTATTAATTTACTTTGCGTAGTTTTATACAACGAGATTTGCAGCATTGTCTCTCATTTTTTTTTTTCTAGCCGCAAACAAACGTGGCTTTTGTTTGTTATAGTAGAAGCGCGCAATCGCTTGTTGAATCTCGCGCACAAATTGCTGTGTGTCTTATTGTGCAGGTACATATTCTGCTTTGGGCGCTTTGAGGACGTCCGTTTGTCTTTGTTCCGCGAAATTAAAGAGTTAATAATGCGCGATGGGGGGACTAACGCGCTCAAAGCGCGCGCGAACGCGCGCACCACTCCCTTTAACTCGCGCGCGATTTACACATTCACACACAGTTAAACTCTCTCGAGACTTGGCTGCGCGTCGCGGATTTTCGCCGCGGCGCATAATCATCAGCGCGGTATCACCTCCTTGGGTCCTTGGAAACCAGTTTGCTCCGCGCGTTCACAAGCAAATTTCGGTGAAATACATACAACCAGCTCTTCTCAATGAATGCAAATACAACAACGTTGTGGGCGTTGTGTGTTATTACGACGCGAGGCTGCGGCGGGGTAATGGGAAATATATTGCGTAATATGTGACAAGAAGGCGCAGACACACTTTTCTAACTCTTATTTTTCATCCCCGTGAAATAAAAAAACGCGTCTACGTTAAACTTTTAAAAGATTAAATATATATATATCTCGCACACGTGAAAGAATATTACTTTCGTCAACTGCGTTTTTACGCACGAGTCACCGACGAAGAGAGAAATTCCGGAGATTTTCCGGAGAAGAGCTAGCGGAGAGCAAAAGCCGTGAAATGTGCGTCAGAGGGTTGATGGAAAGAGAGAGAGAGAGCGCGAATATAGATCGATATATAATGCGAGAGCAGCAGCATTATCGATATAGAAAGACGCACGCTACATGTCGCGCGCACTTTAATCTAAACGCATCGATCCTCAGCACGCATTGCTAACTACACTTTTCCACGCAATTGCATGTTACTGATATTACACGCGTTGTGCGTGTGTGTGCGTGTGCGCGTGTGCAACGCGCGACTCTCGCAAGTGGTTAATAAAGGTAGAAATTTCTGGCGAGTATTTCTCTCCTCTCTTCAATTTTTTTTTTTTTTTTTTTTTTAATCGATACGTACGGATACGACGTGATTGATGCTCGTTGTGCGTTATACATCTGGTCACTCGAGAATCGAGAGACTGTAAATACAGAGATCGTTTCGCGAACGCGCGTATCCTCCCCTTTCCTCTCCCCCGCTGATTTCTTCGCATCGACACTCTTATTCGTTCCGAATTAGTTCTCGTTTTCCCTTTGGATCTCGGGGTCGATTTCAATTATAAGTTTTCCCTCGGAACGAGACACACAGGATGAGTCCGCGCCGGATAACCCCGGGACGAAAATAGGAGCAACTTTGTTGTTGCATATTTCATAGAGGAGTTTGATGACAGATCGTTCCACAGCCACCTTCTCTATAAATTGCATCCGTGTCGACCTAACGATCTCGCGTAATCTTAGCCGGGTTAACAAATATCCATCTTCAAGGGGACGACCTCGACGAAGAGAAAAAAAACTCCTTGCGACATATTTTCTCTTCCCCACAGATAGAGAGATGGAAAATTAATTAATTTCTCAAACTTTGTTAACTTTTTTTTCGAAAACAAGAAACCACCACGCGAAGCGACAATTTGTTTCGAAACTTTTTTAACATATGTGAGCGTTTTGCGCGACGAACTCTGTTCTCTCTCTCTAGCTCGGTCGTCGGAACAAAAATTTCTCAGATCGTTTTCTCTCTCGCGCGAGCGCCGATATAAAAAAAAAACCGCTCGCGTACGTGGTTGTTACACACGCAACGATCTTTTGTAAGCGCGCGTGATTGCGATAAAACCGCAATCTCGTTTCGGCGGTCGTTTCGCGTCGATATTATTCGCGCACGATCCGCGCTCGGCGCGGATTCAACTTCCGAGAGAGACTGAGAGGCCTCCGGTTCTCCGTTTTCGCGCGCCCGTGACATTTAATAAGTTCTTCGACGCGCGAGGTCAACGGGTGCAAGTCGAGAGACACACAGGGAGAGAGAGAGAAGACGAGATGAGAACGAATCTTCGAACGGCTGTGGTAATCGATAACCCGTCCGAATTGAATAAGTTCGCGGTCGTTTGTCGACATCAAACTTCATTTCTTCGACTCTCTTTCCTTCTCTCCCTATCGACAACGAGTAAAACAACTGACTGAATTAAAAAAATACGTAAAAAGAAAAAAAAGAAACAACAAACCTCTCAGGTTTGTTGTTTCTTTTTTTTTTTTTGTATTTTTTAATCGGCGAATTTGCGAATTTTTCAAAAATCACATTACAATAAATGTCATATTGTTGCACGTGTCAGCAATTGCCGTCTCATGTTTTTTCATAAAAATATTTTTTATACAAACTACTACTTTTGTTTCGGAAAACCAGTTTTATGAATAAATCCACGCAAATGAGGTGTTGACACCGCAGCTGACACCGTTGTCCCACGTGTCTCAGCTGCGTTTTGAAGTCAAAAGAGAAGAGATAGAGAGAGAGAGAGAGAGAGAGAACGAGAGCGCTCGTCAGTTTGCTTTCAGAGTCGTGTGTCCCACCATGTTTAACATCGGATCCGAGAATTTGAACTTGGTTCTGTTCAGCGCGACACAAATTGTTGCCAATCAATGTGTCAATGAGGATATTAAACACCCACATGTATAATAATACGCTAAGTCCGAGCGTGCAAACGAAGCCTCGGTTTTCATTCACGGCTTGTGGCGTCGTTTAATTAATCGTTTAATACCATTATCGTTTTAATTCCATTCGGTCTTTAATTAATTACCACTTCATTAGTCCGTCAGTGTTTTTGTAATTGTCAGCGACATAAATAAATGACACTCGTGTATCAACGCGCGCCGTTAAACATGCAATGAGCGCGGAAGAAAAACAACACGCGGAAGAAAATGCAACCGCGGAAAATGCAATTTGCCAGTTGATGATTTGTAATGAGGAAACACAACGGGGCCGGACACAACGCGTCTTCAATTAAAATCTCCTCTTTTCAAGTTCGCCAAAGCGCGCAAAATATTCAGAATCACGGCGGTTGTGTATTCACGCGCGTCTTCATCCGCGATACTACTCAAGGCCAATTTACAGCAAACTCGTTTAGAATGTTGATTAGACATTGTCTCGTTTCTAATTCATAAACGTTCGTAATTTCAACAATTAGAGAAAGACAGAGAGAGAGAAAAGCCACTAAAAATAAAATTGAAGATTGAAAATAAAGATACGAGATAATCTGCCCGGAGTTTTGTTTTTCTTTTTTTTTTTTCACGCTAACAAGCATCTTTCGTCGGATTAATTAAAGAGTTTCGTTGAATGAAAGAAACTGCGAAACGGAATTTAATTTATCCCGGGCGGAACAACCGCGCGGAGCGTCTAACGAGCTTTCGTAAAGAAGTCACTCCGCGCGCACACACACATTTCCCTTTACATCTACCCCTTCTATTCACCGATAGTAAACTGACTAAATCGCGACTAATGCCGGCATATTGTCTCAAGATAAAAAGAATCCGCGGTCTCTCATGTGACGCGCGAGAAATACGAAAAGTTGACAGACGTACGGTAAACAAGAAGTACGCGAACTATCCTTTGACAGAAATGACATCTCCGTATAATCCGTGTCATGTGTTCGAGTCACGAGAACGTGAAGTTCTCTCTCTCCGTAAAGTCTCGAACACAATATCTCTGAGAGAAATCGAACAATCTCCCAATGTAAGTTCGAGACTTGGAACGAAGACGAACGCGACTCTCTCCGGGAAAAAAACGCGTGTTTTCGACGGAAGAAGAAAGACGTCGATCGAACGACGACTTGATGTCTCGCAAAAGGGTTAACGAGCATGTGGAACGCGCACGCGAACGTCGTCGTCATCGTCGTCGTCGTCGTCGTCGTCATTGATGCAAAACAGGGGAGTTAAAAAGGTTTTCACACTGCGTGTCTCTCCTGCCTTTCCGCGCAAACATTATTTCGCGGATGTACAGAGAATCAGAGCCGCGGGGTTCTCCACACGAGATGATCAATTTACCGTGTGCGGATCTCCGTACGCGCGGCACAGCTTCGGGGGGACGTCAAGAGGCGGGGGAGATCCCGCGAAAACGTTCTCGCGGACGTTCTCCGCTTCCACAACGCTTCCGTGTCCGAGAGGCCACTGACAGAAACTCCGCGCGATCTTCCGTCTTGCTCGGGGGCCCGCCCCCGCGCGACCACCACCATCGCCGCCGCCACCACCAACATATCCCCCCCCCGCACATCGGCGGTCACTCTCTTTCTCACTCTCACTCTCTCTCTCTCTTTATCTCTATCTCTCTCTCTTTCATTCCCTCCGGACGCCGACGTGAGGGAGATCGCAGCACGACGACGGGGGCGCGCGCGATGTTGGAAGCGGTGGAGAGACGTGAGAGGCTTTATCGACCCGCGACGCCCAGGGCCGGTCGAGACGACAAGGGAACCACGGGGTGACTCGTGAAAATTGAGAGATTTTGTTTCGAGTGACAAATAGCGGATAATCCGCGACGAAAGCGACATTATCCTCGACTCGGATAATGGTCGGAACGAATTTTCGCCCGTGACAACGGACTGTGTAACGGAACCGGAAAGGGAAAAAAAGTCCGGGAAATTTGTGTTTCAATTGCGATTACGTACATTTTAATCGTAAACTTTTTTTTGTCTTCCACCAAGAAATATCGAAGAAGGTATATTGTTAACACGTGAAATGTTGTCGCGTGCAATTATAATAAAAGTTAGTTTCTCTTTCTTTTTTTTTTTTAAAGAAAACCCATTTTCTTGGAACGCAATAAACTTTTCGATATTCTTTACATTTTTGCGCGATCCCGTCCTCGCTGTTGCATAACGTAATTAATTACGTTAATGTGTGTCCTGTAACAGAAGAAACCATAATGCTTTACGCTGTGTAACGGTGCTCCAAGAGGGAGAATGTAATTCTCTCCCCCTCACGTCGAGCGAGTTTGTAATGTAATTTTACTTGAGAACGGATTCAATTATGCTCGCGAGTTTGCGAGTGTAAAAGCGAACCCTGCAAATAATATTGCCAAGTCAAACGGATATTAATAGAGCCATTCAAAGAGTGCGTGATGTCCCTGACATCCAAGCGCGCGTCGACTCTTAATTAATGAAAAGCGCATTAAAATAATTACGGATTAAAAAAACAAAAAAAAAAAAACAAAATCGCCGCTCCCGCCGCCCGAGAAAGAAATCGCGAAGCTCTTTCCACGATTACGAACTGACCCCGATTCCCTCGCGGAGCCATTTTTCTCATTAAACTCCCCCTTCTCCAAAAAAAAAATAGTGTAAACACAATATTACAACACAAAAGAATCAGAGTTGCGTGCAATTTGTGGTCGAGACAAACATTCTCGCAATAAAAATATTTGTTAACAAGCAAATAACAAGTTCGCGCGGTTTTAATTTTTTTTTTTTTTCATTTATTTCTATCGATAATCTCGACGTGTTTTTTTTTTGTTTTTTTGTCTTTACTAATTGCAAGTGATTGCGGAGGGATCGATGTTACTTCAACTGAGCGATTTTACTCGTACGTACCTCCTCTCCTCAGATTCGAGGAGTTCAATATCGAAAATTGCGAAGCTTCGTGACCTGCTTTGAGAAACACAGTTTTTCTGAGAAACTTCAAACACGTCAAAGAAGTGTTTCAAGTGTTTTCAAAACATTTCTCTACGTTTTTTTTTTTTTTCTATTAAAATATAAAACTCGCGCGCGTATTATCTGAGTAACGGATGTGTGATATCGCGCCGGATAAAACGCGGACGTCCTTTTTCCCACCCAATAGTGTGTGGTTCGAGAGTAAACTTAGTCGCGAAGAACGGTATCACCAACGTAATTTCGAATGATACGGACACCCGTGAGACACATCGAAGTAACGTCGAAACTGAATTACCAATGTGCGAAGAGACTCGCGATACGACGTTGTATCTTGAGGGCCCCGCGAGGAAATTGGAAGCGTGCTATTATTATATAGGTCGCGGACTTGCGCTTTTGACGTATATATTCGCGCAACAACGAACGAAAAAAGAATAAAAGTCGATAACAGGTTTTCTTTATAAGCGGATTTCTTATAAACTACGAACTTCTTAGCGATATCGAAAACGATACATCGGTCATTCGTTTCGCGCATTTTTTTCAACTTTACATTACATCACGTTTTGCGTTTTTTGTGTATAACACACTCTTAAAATAAGGAAAAAAAATATATTAAATCTGCAAAAATTACTATTTTTGCCTCTTTGTAAGCAATAAATTTTCAAAAAAAAAAACAATATATTTTTCTAAAATAAGAGAAAGATATGTGATAAAGTTTAAAATCTACACATAAAAAAAAGCAATTATCTTTAAAAAAAGAAGATTGAAAGGTGCCAGTCAAGATCGATGTATGCAAATTGCTTTTATTCAAATTGAACAATACGTTATGATCCTTTTTTTTTATTTCGGATTGTCTTCAGTAAACGAAAATTAAAACGATAAAAAATCGACTGAATCAGTATACTTTACAGTCTTACGGTTGTTTTAAATTCTCAGCTGATTGTAATATTTCTTTTGACTATATATATATATATATATACATATATATATATATATATATATCATACGTTTCGATTTTTTAATGAATTTTCTTTAATGAACAAAAATTAAGACTTAAAACGTTAATTGATAAGCTTGACGGGAGTAAACAATTGTGCGCAGTTTTCAATTCGGTTGTCATCTAGTTGAAAAAATTGAACACTATATATATATTCTATTTGAATAAAAGTAATTTACATACATTCGACACACCTTGTATTGGCTCCTATTGATCCTTTAACTTTTTGCTTTCAATTTTCACAAACTTTCATTATTTACTTTAATAAGAAACAATTCCTTCACCCTGTACACAATGATGAGACGTGTGTCACGTGCGTGAGAATCTTAGCGGAGAATAGCTGGTGGATTGTGATTTCAAGACAATTGAAACGCAACATTATCTCGTGTCTCAAGTCACAGAAACGTATGTGAAGTGTCAACACTTGCAAGAAATAAACGTACACACGGTGTACACATACGTATACATAAAAATAACATGAAAGTAACAATTTTACTGTGCTTAGAGCACTGTTTTGAGATAACAGTCATCTCTCATTCCGCCAAGGCGTTCGCTCTGGTGGTTCACATCTTGTGTCGAGGTTCATCTTAGTAAAGAAAAAAAAAAAAAAAAAAGAAAAGAAAAACGCGGACAACAAGCGAGGCGTCGTCAGTCGCGTTTCGCGTATTATTACGACAGACAGAGTAACTGTTACAATGTAACGAACGGTGAGGAATAAGAAGTAGCAAAAATTCTTCGTTTCTTTCCGTACTTACGTTTGTGATGAGTTGGATTATTTTTGCTCAACGTGCAATGAATCGCAAAATGATCCGCGCGCGCGAGAATTTTTGCAATATACGTGTAATTTTATCGCAGTATTGTTTCTAAATAAACAAAAACGCAGATTAATAAAATCGCGCAAGATTATCTCGATACAAGTAGTGTGATATACGAGATTTTTTTCAGCTCGCGCATTCAAAGCTCGTTGAAAAAAAAACATTCCAAGATATCGTTATCTATGCTTTTGTACTCTGGCTTAGTAATTGTTTCGACGAATCTAATCTCATATATAGTATTACATGTACTCATATGGATGTACATAGGTATATGGCAACGCTGCTTAAAAAACATCATCCTCTCGATCCGATCGAGAGATCGTCTTTGTTTCGGTCGGTACGTAAGCTTTTTTCCAGTGCACGCAGTGAAGCTGACGCGTGTGGAAGTGCTGCGCGCGCGATCGTCGCGACGAAATTGCGTTGCACAATTGATCGATTTGTTCGTCACGAATTTCTTGTCGGTGATTTTTTGCATCCCGCCCCTGTGTGTCTCAAAAATAATAATACATTTTTTTTACATTCTCGCTTCACATATACCAACGTCAAGGAAGTAAATGTCACAAAGTTAGATAACGACACAGTGCGTTTCGCATTTCAATTGCGAGTGGTAAACAATGCAGTTTTTCGCGCACACACATAAATAACAACAACACAATTGGGAAAAACGCGAGTAAAATTTGTCTCGCAACATACACAAATTTGTACAAAGTTATTTGTATTTGTTTAGGACGCTGTACAGGAAGTGAGAAAGTGTTAGTGTTAGTGTGTGTGTGTGTATGTACGATTTGCATACACACCCGTCGTAATATCATACATTTGCACGGAAAAAGAAAAGAGAAGATTTTACGTGTCAGCATTTCTGACGCTTCGCGGAGAGACTGTCGTTTTTACGACAGGCGCTCGAATGTCATATTTTGAAGTTGAAAACGAAATAACGGAAATAAGAGAAAAGATATCGAGTACAAAAATATGGATGCGAGTAGGTTTAACAAATTGATTGTTTAACAATTTTGTTTCTTCTTTTACGATGTACAATTTTTTTTAAATATATATTTTATTGTTATTTTTTTGATAAATATATGTGTTATTGTGTACACAGCAGACGGTAAAACGTTATTCGCATCGGATGTGTACAAGGAGCTCAAAGATTTTCCTCCGTTGGTCGGAGAACCGGAAAAGGATTTGGGCAAAAATTGGAACGCGTGGAGGCTGAAGCTGTTGTCTTTTCTTCAGAATAAAAAAGTGTATACGAAACAACGGATTCACATCTTATGGATGGTGATCGGACCGGCGGGATGTCAGGCGGCGAAGTATGTCTATCCTCGAAGCGGCGATCAGGCGCAGGATTTCGAATTGCTATTGCACGATTTAGACGTGTACTTTATCTTCGGATCCAGAAGGAAGCAAAACAACGAAAGTGTCGATCAGTACATCGACAGCTTGACGGTAAGCTGACATTTTCAAAACTTTTTTGCTTAAAGTTTCTTTTTTTTTTTTTTTTTTTTACGCAAAAAAAGAACGACACGCTCAAAAAATTTTTTATTTATGTTTTCTTCTTCGTAGCTTCTTGCGATCGCGAGCAATCACAACGATCCCGTCGGCGTCGTGAAGGAGAAACTTGTGCGGGACATCACGAGAATCAGATTCACGGGAAGAGCCATTCCTTTTGTTCAATCCAAAGGAAAGAACTTGTTGTTGTATTTGCAACAGCAGGATCTTAACCAGATCGCATTGTTTTGGAAACAGTACGAGGAACTAATGACGCGGACGCCCGCCGATAATCGCTCGTCTTCGCTTACGCGCTACACTTCCGAAACGTTCGAATGCGTTCGTTGCGGTTCGCGCCACGCGAGAAATCGATGTCCGGCTTACGGTCGACAGTGCGACAAGTGTAAGGAATACAATCATTTCGTGCAATGCTGCAGGGCGCGATACGTGACCGATTGTCCCAAGTGCGGGACGAGTCACTTTCAGTCGCGCTGCATCGCGCACGGCGCAACTTGCGAGAAGTGCGGCAAGATGAATCATTTCTCGTCGTTCTGCACGGGTCAGTTTTTAGAGGATTGTCCGCGATGCGGCCAGGATCACGTCGCGACCGCTTGTCCGGCGATAAATAAAATATGTTCCCGTTGCAACAAGCCGAATCATTTCGAGAACAAATGCATAAGTCAGTCGAACGGAATCAAGCATACAAAACAAAGCGTATACAATCGTTTATTCCGCTCGTAATAAACACAAGTTCTCGTTGCAGAATTCAAATAATAATAATAATAATAATAATAAAACCATCTGTCAAAAGTAAAGCTACGCGCGATTTAAAAAAACACACGTGTCATTATTTTTTGTTCAATTTTGTATGCTGTTTTGCGACTTACATGTAATTTTTTTTTCGACTTACATATATTGTAATTTTCTACGTAAAATATAATTTTAATGTATTTTTTTTTCTAAATGAATTTTTTTTTTTTATCCAAGGGGTTTGTTTTACTTTTGCATCGGCGCAATCGAATTACGTACAATTGTGCATTTAAGTTTTTAGATTAATTTTGTTGCGCACCTGTGCCATGTACTCCTCGCTTTTGTTCTACAAACAATTATTGTTAATAAAACGTGTGTAAAGCATAAACACGTACAAAGCGAACGTGTAAATAAATCAAGTACCCTTTTTTGTTTTTTTTTTTACTCACGTTTCATATTTTTCTACGTTTTATAATTTTTCTAAATACGCTTTCTTTTCGATACACAAAATTTTAATTTTATCTTTTTACACACCTCGTTCTCACGTTTCCTCGATTTCATTCCTTGAAAACGTTCGCGCGAGAAGCTCTCCACGTGTGTCTTTTATAATTACAATACTTCTCGGTTATTAAGACAAAACAAAATTTCAAATATTTCACGAGACTCTCATCTCGGGGGAACGCGAAGTCTCGCGACCGAAAGTTCCCGCCGTGCCCGTCGTCGCCCATCGTTCCAAGTGGAACGTGTATAAATAACACGCGCAGGTTAACCAACATCGAAATACGTAAAGACCCTGCCGCGACGCGGCCAATATTATAAATCTTGTTTTTTTCCGAACGCATTTGATCCACACCCGTGTTTCCTTCCCGCAACTCGACGATGCCGTCGCACGGTGCTTTCCGAACACTGTGTTCACGTTCTCTCGTGTTGTTTGTCACCTGACGTTCTCAAGGCATCGCGTTCACGCCAGTGGCGGTGGTGGTGGGGAGCTGATTAAGCGCAGCGAACACAAGGGAAGGAAGAGGAACTAGCAGTTCTCTGTTGTCGGCTCTGTTGTTCGTCGGATTGTTGACCGCAGTCATTGTTCCCATATTCCACGGCGAACTCGATCCGTCACGGAAAATTTGAAGGCCGCCGTTCTCCAACGATTCGCCAGTGCCGTTCGCGGTCACTCTCGACGATCGATACCTCGCCGATATCTCACCTTCTCGCGACTCACGCTCTCTCTACCAACTATGCGCACGTTTCGGCCGATGTTTATGGTCGTCGTTCACGTCGGCTGACAGCTGTCAATCTCGCATTCGGGTCGCCGCGAGTGAGTCACCGGATCGGCAGTCGACGATAGTCTCTTCAGGTGATTCCACGATCGCACGTTTCCCGTATCTCTCACGGCATTTTTTTTCTTTGTTTTAATATATATATATATATATGTATATATATACGTACGCGTCGCTCTTCGCCTGCATTTTACCTGCGTCTCTTTTATTTTGTTTGTAATTTCTTGTTTTTTCGTTTTTGATGCTCGTTTTTTTTTCTACAAAGCTCTCTTCTCGACTTCTCGTCCTTTTTCCCTTTTTTCTCAGACGAGTCCTGACACAATAAGCCTAAATATCGAGGCGCTCAAAAACAAAAAAAAAAAAAAAAAAACCAAAAAAAAAAAAAAAAAAACCAAAAACAAAAAACAAACAAACACGCTCTCCGCACACACACGGGCACCCGCACGGGACGAGATCATCCCCACAGGTATCGCACGTCACAACCTACTACCCTTTGTGTTCAGATGTCCAGGTATTTTTTGTAAGGACCTATTTTGTTCTCTTTGCATTACACGCACATTTTTGTATTTATATATGTTTATATATGTATATATATACACACATACACACACACAGCAGAGTGTATGTCACGCGGGTGCGAGCATCACGAGCCAGATGTCTTTCTTTACGTTGCAGCGATATCACCGGCATGGCGTCCAGCTCCGTCAGCCAGGAGGATTTCGACAACGACTTCGAGTTAACGTCCAGACGGTCCAGAATCAGAACCGCCAGAGCCAGAGTTGGGCCACCGCGGACGGGGGATGTGTCTTCCATAAGCTTTCAAAGTACGTGTTGAAATTCTTCCATATTGTTGAAAACTTGAGAAATCTTTGATTGGGTAACACACATACTTCAGTGTATCTGATAACGGAGCGTGATGATGCCAAAGAGCGACTTACGAAATCGAATGTTAACGAAGTGATTTATCGTTTTCTTTTTTATTGCTTCTAATGCGGCGTTTTTCTATTTTATACACAGAGAACACGCCTGACGTGGAGGAGTCGCAAGGCGCCTACGACGCAAGCTCCAATTCCGTGCTTCCGCCCGAGCACGAGAATCCGCAGAGCAAACCCATAATAAGGAAGCAGGACAAACGTGTGACCGGCCGGTACGTAAGTCGCGATCGCATGTGAATCAGCTCGCATGAAAAAAAAAAAGAAAAAAAAAAGAAAAAAAACCCCGATAGAATCAAGAAAGGAGAATTTTGTATTGCCGCGCTTGGAGTGTCCATTAGCTACGCAAAAAGCAACGCACCGACCTCTACGTAAAAATTTGCCTAATATACTTTCTGGATCTGGTTCTAGTGTCTTTAGTGTCGTATCCTGTTTGCACAGGCCAACGCACATAAACAAGGGGAAGCAGCAACGCGATCGGCGGAAACTCCGAGAAAAACGGCGTAGCACAGGAGTCGTGCATTTACCGTCAACAGAGGTTCGACATTGTTTGTGACCGTCAATCGACCCATAAGTAACTGCTCAATTATTTTGATTGCAATCAAGAAACGGATGAGCGCAAAGTATCTCAAGTTGGAAGAGAAGTTAATTTTTCACAAATCCGCGTGGAGAAGAGAGAAAGAGAGAGAGAGAGTGAGAGAGAGAGAGAGCGAGAGAGAGAGAGAGAGAGAAAGAGAGAAAGAAAGTTGTTCTCAGTTGTTCTTTGTACATGAGAAAAAACGTGCAAGAGTATCGCGCGATAGTAACTTCGTGTAATTGCTCGGTAAAGGTTGACGTGTATAAATCACAAAGAGATCTTTAAAATTGCGTATGCCAATCTTTTTCACGCATTCTGACAGTAAGCCTAGCAATATGCTGCTATTACTTATGGGATATGTATCATCGAGTTTTATTGTTGTTGTTTAATACCTAAAAAATGTGCATCCAACACACTTTGGACTAAAAAAACGCATGATTCCCCCAGAGCACTGGTGGTAGTACGGGAGAGGATGAGGAGGAGCTTAGCGGCACTTGCCTCGAAACTAAACACAACACGCATCACAATGAATTTCTTGATCAGGAATTGTTAGAAGTAAGTGCAGCCAATGCCAGGTTTTACTCTTTGCACGCACAAGATGTTCTGACGAAGCGAGAACAACTGGAAAAGATTCGTATAACTCCGATTTGAGATTTATTCTAATAACATTTTTGTTATTTTTCTTTGCACAAAGAGAATCTTGATTGTAACTTTCTGTTGTGTTTCGAAGCAATTTTTCAATATCGCAATATATCAAAAGCTGGAAGCAAAGTTTTTAACGATCGATGGAGCTTTTTTTTTTTTTTTTCAAAGATTGTTTTGTCCCGATTATTCAAAAGAGTGCGTATTGCAGGAACGGACGGCCCGAATGTACACGCAAAGGCGAAACAAAAGGTATCTCGCATTTTCACATTTTTCTACGTAATTAGTGATAATTAAAAGATATGTATGTATACATATACACATATACATATATATATATATATATATGTACGCATTTATGTCGTGGCGCAGTAGCTACCTATTTTGCGACTCTTTTTTAATGAAAACTATCACTGCTTTCTAGGCACTACCGTACTTCATACAGGTCATGTGTAGTTAGGCACAGTAGTTGGTAAGTGCGTACGTCGTACCGGAGAAAAACTGCGATTAGGCACGACCTGTACGAAGTACGATGGAGCTAGAATATTCATGTAATTTGTTTAACAAGTCATTTTTTTAACAAGTCATTCCGATTCGCATTGTGTCACCTGAAAAAAAAACAAATCTACGTGCATCCTTATATAATCAATACATCGCAGTAACATGGCGTATAGTAAAGGGCGTATAACGTAGCGAGTTTATATTTGACGTAGATGAGAAAACAAAACCAGAAAAACATTGAATGTTAACGGACTTGTTGCGCGATACAAAGAATATAACGTGATGAGAGATATTAAAAAAACGTGGGAGAAGAAATCTCGATTAAAACTTCGTCGCATTAGCAATCGCAATCAAACGAACAATTTATAATTCGCTACGTATTTTTATTTTTTTTGTTTTGTTTTCTGTATCTCTCAATATATCGTGTGTTTACTATAGTTTTCATTCTGAAACACTCGGAACAATTATGTTAACTACAAGTTTCTTTCTTTTTTTTTTTACATCTTACACTCGGTTATTTTGTATTAATATAATTGGCAGTTTTCATTAATATGATTGATATTTTTTTCATTAATGTAATTAGAAACACACAGCGTTGACATTACGTGCAATTAAATATTCTTTGTGTCCGCATCGATGGTCGTGCCTAATGTGATCTAGATAGAGAGAGATGGCATGATAATACAAACAGTTATTAACCAGTGTGCGAGATATTCGCGAGATAAGCGAAAGCCTATTTTACATCGCGCGTTTGTTTATCGTTTGCTTTTTAGTCACTCGGATTTGGAGGCCGACGACGAGGAGTTCGATTCTCTCAATCAGTCCGACAGCATCAATCAATCGGATCACGGCAATCACGAGCCCCAAACGTCCGTTACCACAACCGGTAGACCGAGATTGCCAACGCCAACTGGTGACAATCCGCACGAAGTAAGCTATCGAAAACAAATCCAGAGATAATTAACACGCGCGTTGTTCTACGTTTATGTTAATTCGAGAAATTCGATAATCGAACGCTGATTGCGTTTTCAGTTGATCGAACGAGCGCAAGAAGAGAACAGGAGGCTACTGTCTCTTCTCGAGGACCGAGACCACAAGATAATGGCGCTCGAGGCTCGCCTTCTGAAGCAGCAGCACGAGATGGCCGTGGAGCGGGAACGGCTTCGCGAGGAGAACGCCACGTTAATTCGCGCAATGGCTGCATTAGCCAGCAACTAATCATTTTTGTTTTCGTATATTGTAAAACAAAAAACAATTTCACGCCTTCTCGGCTCCTCTTTGCTCTTTATGATAATCTTCGGAGCTGCAGGATGAGCCATAAGTCGCGCAACACGCCACGATTTTATTTATAATACTTTTTATTACGTGTATTCTTTGCTGTTGTAAGCACGAACGAGTTTGTAGTATCGTCGAAATCCAATTCAAACAATTCTTCTCTCGCACCGTATAATATCTCGTCAATCGTTCGATTGTATATCAGGGGAGTCGCAACAACTGCAGGGTGAACGACTGAAAAAATTACGCACTGTGTTAATTACTTTTTAACCATTGTTATAAGAGATATTGTGATATACATAATTTTGTTTTTTTTTTATGTAGAAACTAAAAAAAAAAAAAAAAAATCTGATGCTGATCTCTTTTGAGCGAATTGATAGAATTGTTGTAAACTTTCTACATTTGACAGTTTCGTCAACTTGAAAAGAATAACACACCAAAAACGCGGATGTCGGTGCACATAAGATATTTTAATTTTTTCTTAATGTAAATTTATTTTTAATTAAAATTTAAATTTTTTTCTCGATTAATTTGCGAAATTACTTTACGCGCGCGCGCGCGCGAGAGAGAGTTTGCATCTGGTAAATGTAATAAATTCGTAAATATTTGTCATGTAGAGCGAAAGTTTTTAGAACTAAACTCGCGCGTATCCGCTTTTTCTAACTCAATGGGATGCAAACGATTCAAGGATGATTTTGTTTTTTCTCTGTCAAGAGAATCCTTTTTTGGAAAAAGTGGTTCTTTTTTTTTTTTTTTTTTTTTTTTTTTTTTGAGACGCGTGTCTGTCTTTCGATTCTTCAGTTTTCTCAAAGAGATGTGAAACAGATGATACATACGAAAACTTTTGTATGTACAACTTTTTTTACACTAGTTGTACAGAGTAAAAAAAAAAAAAACAAACTGAAGAGATCGTACATCACACATTTTGATATTTTTACTTCGCGTAAAGTTGTATGTATGTATAATGAGAAAGGCTGATGAAAAACTTAATTAGAATATATATACGCGAAGAGCGAGTCGCGCACGGAGCTTGCAATTCGCTTGAAAGTTAAAGAAATTTAAATAAATAGATATTAGAGGTATTTAGTTTTTATCTCACACACATACACACACAGACACACACACCAAGGAGGAGAGAGTGTATTATTCTCTTTGCACACATTGCGCATTATCTTCGCGGTAGTGATAAAAATTTTCCACATCTTTCCGATCTGATGCATGATTTATGGATCATCCGGAGGCAATAAAAAAGAAAAATATTACTTTATAGATAAAGTTACAACTCTAGCGCGTGTTGCAGATTGAGTCATTAAATCAATATAAAAATAGACGATTCTATACACTCACACACAGTGCCCCGCTGCGGAAAGTATATATATATAAATAAATATACGTTTTTTGAGCAAGAGCCGCAATGCGAGTTGCATTTTGTAAAGAAAAAAAAAAGCAATAGCAATTCTCTCTTTCTCTCTCCCCCTCTCCTGTCTTGTAAAGATATATCGGAAAGGAAAGCAGCAGAGCTTCTCGCTGAGCTTTCGTCGCACGTTTGTTATCGATATAGTCGCTATCTATATTGCCGATTATAATTGCCATTTTTTTTCTGTTTCCATGCGTTTCTCGGTAAACCACATATGACATATATATGTATTGGGTCATTAAGTATGAAATATATATATATATATATATATATATATATACACAGGGTGTCCCAGAATTGCCGTACAATCTCTCGTAGGCAGGTAGGAGTAAAACTGAGTCGAAAAGTCCTGAACCATTTTTTTCTATTATTTATAATAAANGAGTAATTATTGAGTAAATCAGGCCAATCAGCGCAGACCTTTAGCCAGACGCACGTCAGTGAGCCGCGCGCCTCGTGTGTGTGAGCGCTCACTGACGTGCGTATGGCTAAAGGTCTGCGCTGATTGGCCTGATTTACTCAATAATTACTCCTTTATTATAAATAATAGAAAAAAATGGTTCAGGACTGTTCGACTCAGTTTTACTCCTTCTACCTGCCTACGGCAATTCTGGGACACCCTGTATATATGTGTGTGTGTGTTTATGTATACATGTATATATATGTAATTATCAAAGTTTCATACTTAATGACCTAATATATGTATACACATATACACACAAAAAAACGCAACAGGGAGATATATTACACACATACAAAAGTGCCGATTACAAACACGACTAAGCGACTTCTAATCCCTTTTCTATTGTAACAATGTGTAAGAATGGGTAATTCTACGTAAGTTTTATACTTGCAATCTACCGATCAGAGCGAGACGTAAGATTATTAATTATGATTTTACTACCGTTTTAGTGTTATTATTATTAATATTAATATGCTATTATTACACACGCGCGAGCCCGTACAAAATTCTCTATGTACATATAGATACATGCGGATATATAATTCTGTAGCGATATTATATACGATTGATGATGCAGCATTTTATTATAGACCTCCCGCTACAAATCTACACGCAAATCTCTCGCGGAGACCAAGATATGTAACGAGAATATATAAAATTGTTTAAAGAAACATTTTTAATCGTCGTTCTTAGTTTCTTTTCCCGCGCATTTTGCAAACGTCTCGCGTTGAAATTTTGTCAACAGGACGAAGGATTTTTCAAATTCGATTTTTTTTTTTTTCGTTAATAAATTGTCCGGATGATCATTTGTTAGTCGATCATTCGTCTTTCGTGCGAATGTCGCAATTTGTCAAATAAAAGGAGCGGTCTAGGGAAATAAAATGAAAAAAACGAAAGGAGATCGGTTATGGTGTGCGTATCACGCGGAAGTATTGTAAAGTACGACATACACCTAATGTGAACCGGCAAAGTTTGCATTTTTATTCATAAAATAACTAAATAAATTTTTAATATAATACAATACTTATGTGTGTGTATATATGTGCACGCACATACGCATAATATAGTTACATCTTTATGCTAAATCTTCCTAATCTACGTAGCTGTACATTATAAATCGTTGGGATCCGATCATACATTTGGGGCGGGGGGTATACACATTTTTTCTCTTTGTCAAGTCTTATCCCGATTTATTTTCGTGTATTTGCACTGACTTTGCGCCCTTTCTCTCTCTCTCTCTCTTTCGTTCTTTCGAAATGTACGCTTTGATCCTATCGGGATTTTATCCCGTTTATCTCTCCCGCGACTCTATTCTATTACAAAAGGCCTCAGAGACATTTTTTTGTTTTGTTTTAATTCTGTAGAATTCGGCAATCTCTATCAAAATTGTTGTAAAAAATAACTTCGTTGCCGCGTTTAAAGAAAACGTCGTCGTTTTGATTGGTTCGTGAAAAGGCATATCTGTGATGAGAACGCAGACATCTCGAAAGAGCAAACATCCCTTCGCGCACAACGTTAACAATAAAAATATACGACGAGGTGCAATAAACATAAGAGTTTGTCATTTTTGTATTTTTCGCGAAAGATTACTTTTTCGATAATGACACTTCCAAACCAGACGAGCTTGAAGAAGACACTACAATTTTTAATTAACGTTTAATGCCAAATGTCAATCGCACATCTTACAAGAGAGATTAATTTTAAAAGAAAATTTATGACTACGATATGTATATATAAATATATATATATATATATGTGTGTATATATATAAATAAAGATGGACAAATGGGATCTCTCACTCGATTCAAAACAATTACATCGTTCGATGTTTAATATATAAATAAAAAGATTCACAGAATAAATCGTAAAATAAAAGTTTTTTTTTTTTTTAATTATAAAATGCGACTTATAACTTTTAATCCCATTTATCCCGCTACAATTATTCGCGCGTTACAGAGACGGTAAATCGCGTGTTTTTAGAAAAACGAATAGCCAATTTGAATTAATTTTACCAATTTTATTTTAATTAATTATTATTACGTTATATCGTTAATGAAAAAAAAACTCAACGCTACGATTTATTTATCACAAATCGTCGTATTAGCTATTGCCAATGTTTCGTTAAAATACGTACACACACACTTTATGATGCAACAGGTACTACACACTTCTATAAATTCTCCCTCACCTCTTTGTCTATCATTCTTTCTCTCTCTTTCTCTCTCTCTTTCTATCTCTCTTTCTCTCAATCTCTGGCAAGGTAACTAAATTGTTTAAGTCGTTTTTTTTTTTTTTTAATTGTCTACACCGTGCGCCTCTACGACTATTTTTGTTCAGTTCTCTCAGTCGCGTTTTTTTTTTTTTTTTACTTTTTATTTTTATTGCAAGGCAACGCTTCGATGATATGTACCGTTCTTCGAAAATCGATTAATAAATCAACCGAACTCGTCGTTGTAGACAAAATTTTCAGGAACTTGGATTTTTCTTCTCTCTCACCTTCCCCGACATTCGCAACTTTTTCTCTCTCTCTCTCTCTCTTTCTCTCAAGATAGCTTCTCTCCGCGAAGTTATTGTCAGCTGTGATTAAGTCGTTAAACAAAGCGTTTCTTTTCGCTATTTCTCGCTTCTCGAATCTCAAGATTGTTGGTACATATATATACACATTACGCGCGATGATATATATATATATATCTTCCTCCTGCATTGCACACATACTGAGCTGTAAACCTGACGCGAATATTTCACACACGCGATGATTTTTCGCGCACAATTACAATCGTTATTTCTTAAACTATACATCTTTTGCGCGCGCGCATTTCTTTTCTTCATGCAGTATGTATCATTATCCCAACAAACGACTAGATCACGATGGTTGGACCTCAACCAGATCCTTAAATGCTAAGGGAGCTTACCGTACTATATAAGCTTACTTCCGGCGAACGATATATTAATATTGTTTTTTTTTTTTTTTTTATACCAACCGCGTTGCAGTCGAAATAGACGCAGACAAACGAACCTCCCGCTCTTTATCTCTCTCTCATTCTCCGTGCGCGATTGACGATCTCTCGATCAATTCGCTTTTATTACATATATTTCATTTTCTTCCCTGCCATGTCTCACACCCGTTTTCTCGTCTCTCTCTTTCACGCATTCTATCACGCCTCCGAAAAAAAAACAACATTCAGCATCCGGGGATGCATCACGCAATCGTTATTTAACTTATCAATCGTCTAACGATCGTTTGCAGTTCGCTTAATAAACAGTTCTCTTCGTCAGAGACTCGTCAAATCAACATTCCGGTTTTTTTGTGATTCTGATATACAGGTTGCCTCGAGAGAGAGAGAAAGAGAGAGAGAGAGAGAGAAAGAGAGAGAATGTTAATACAAGTATATTACCCTACTTAAATAAAGTATTTGTCCATTCGCGTATTAACAGCAAAATCGCATTCTCGAAGGAAATTCATAAACAAAAACGATTGTTTAACGTAAAACTTTTTACTTGCCTTCTTTCACACTTAAATAAATAAAATAAAATTCACGCACGTGATATTACAGTACCGAGAAATTAATGTAAGTTATCAATTTTCACGAAATAAAACATTCGCTATCTGAAAAATAATAGCATTGGAATATTCTCTTTTCACCTCCCTCGAAAATGCAATCGTGCGTTCGATAAGTTTCACATTCGATAAAAAAAAAAAAAAAAAAAAGAAAACAAACGGATATTGTCTTTATGTTTCACCATTGTCCTTAACTTATCGGCTGAAAAAATATGTTGTATCTCGGAAAAATAAAACTAAGATGAGACTCTATCACTGCAATAGTAACTCCGTTAGTTTAAAGACTAGAACCTCGTTTACTTCCTCCTTGTGACACTTCGTACACGTTTACAATCGACGACTGTCCTCTGTCTCTCCTCTCTCTCTCTCTCTCTTTCTTTCTTTTTTTTTCCGTGCGGATCATAATTCCTCTCGGGAATTAACTTTCGTTTTTTTTTTTTTTTTTACCCGAAGTCAAAATCGGGAGGCAAATACACGCGACTCGTGTCTGTTGAACGCAAGAGGGTTGTTGTTGTTGTCGTGTGTTCAGCGGGAAAATTAAAGAAATGACTGTGAAAAAAACTTTTTTGATTCGTTTACTTCACGTGCTACATCGACTTGAACAATGTGTCACTCATTGGCCGTTATAGGAAATAAACCATAAAAAGTTTTTCATATTGATAACAATATTTCTTTGCGCATTACATACAAGCTGCCTACGATTAAGTGACTGACTGTTTTATGCCGACGTCGTAATGTTTTTTTCTCCCCATTTATTCCGCGCTATAATAACAACACCAAACAAATTTCATTCGACAGCTTATCTCGATGAGAAACTCGCCAAATTATTCTCGCACAAAAAATCATTTGCCTCCCTAGTATTGACTCGAGAGAACACCGCATATGCGTCGTAAGTACAAGTTATATTTATATCATTCGCGCAAATGTCATTCGACAATAAATAATCGCAACGCGCTGCTTTACTCGTTATCGAAGGAAGATAGCGTGTTTCTCTCACACGAACACTTCCTGTCATTTCATTCACATCGGCTTCTTTCATACACGTTTTTTTTTCTTATATGTTCTTCCGAGTTTGTGTGTTTCGTAAGTCTCCATTTTTCTTAATCAGTCAGCAATTCGTGCTGTTTCCGATTGGATAGATCGTTTCCGAGAAAGATCTCAAAAAAAGTACAATCTTACAAAGACGCTCGGAAATCCCGAGAGTCGAAAAAAAAAAAACAAATTTTGCTAGGTTTTTTTTTAAATAATCTAATAACTTAAAGCAAAATAACTTAAATATCGAAGATTCAGGAACCGAGATAATCGCACGCAGACTCAATAGATTGCTTCAAAACGATGTGGAAAAAACTTGTTCGTCCCCTGTCGCGGTAGTTTTTCTATAATACGGTTAGAATTTGAAGAATTCCATCCAATCCCCACGAAAATCGTAAACTTCGGTCGCATTGGTCGCGAACAACTTAACGCCCATACTCGCTCTCGATGATCTCTCGGGATATGTTTGTGTGTATGTGTGTGTTTTATGGCGCTTCAACGCCGACGACGCGCTTCACTCGAGGGAGAAAAAGATGACTCTCCTGATGATCTCAGACGCTGCAGCCGGACGTGACAACCTCCTCGCTGGAGGAGTTTGATTGATTGTGACTCCATCTGCACTGGTGGCAGCTACTTGTCGTCGACGCCGTTGTCGTTGTCGCCGTCGCCGACGTCGCCGTCGCTGCCGTCGCGGACTCGTCGTCCGGCGAGCTAACGATGTCGCCGGACGTCCGCAGACCCTGCTCGAGTTCCAACAGCTGACCCATGAAGTTCAGATTCGGACTGATGATCGGACGCGCGTTCTTCACCAGTTTGTACGCGTCCACCATCGACAGGCCCTTGTGCCGCATTATGTAAGCAATTGCGATCGTGGCACTGCGCGAAACGCCAGCCTGACAGTGCACCAGCACGCTGCTTCCGGCTTTTCGCGCTTCCTCTGAAACAAAGACAGATTGCGAAATGATGAATGTGCGCGCGTCTCTTTCCCGATAAATAATGACTAAACATTTATCGGACTGAATTTAATGATATGTGTGTGTCGGAAATCAAAGGAAAAAGATAAAAATGCTTAGTTAGAGAACACAAAAGATCATATTTTCTAAGTAATCAACGCGTGAATGTTATCTTGATAATTTTTTTTCTTTTTTTTTTTTGTATTTCTTTGAAAAACTCCCTTTGACGAGTGTATCTTTAAAAAAAAAAAACGAGTACGAGTTAAACTCGTACACATGTTGAAACGAAACAGTCGTGAAACTTGAACGACCGACGGTTATGCAATATATGGGGGACGCTATCGTATCACCAGTGAGTCACTGCATCGCCCGGATCCTATGCAGACTATACAGTCGGGTTTTCTGTCGCGCTGCATAAGAATTCGACTGCGCGACTCGACAAGTTGCTCCGATTTTGTTTACAAGCGAGTTGAACTTGATGTATAAAAATTTTAAAGTTTTTCACGTGATATATTATAAAATCTGAGATCTATATATTCGCTTAAAAAGAATTTGCAATAAAATAAATTTGAATATTTTTAAACCAAATTACATCAAATATGTTGTTGTTGCGTACACGCGTATTTTTGCGCGTGAATCAAATAAATAATAGAAAATAAAAAGAATTTAGACGAATAAGATTTGAAAAAATTAAGATATCGAGACATCGAAAGTTCGTGAGATTGAATCGTTTGCGAGAGCGAAGGAACGAATTTCTTAAGAGCAAAACCGTAGCCACGACATCGAATGCCACCACGAGGGTGCAGAGTCGGTTTGTTCAACCGGCATTCCACCAGTTGCACGCTCGAAGGGAGGTCCTATATACCCTCGCTTTCATCCCCCCGTGCTCCTTCCTCTTCTCTCTCTCTCTCTCTCTCTTTCTCTCTCTCTTCGCATTCCCTTCTCGAGCCCTTACAACCGCGCGCCACGCACGACTGCTACTTCCCTTCCACGTGGAACAATACTCCCGGGTTTCGTCGCAGATGCGCACACGCAGCGAGTAAAACTCGGCACGAGAGAGAGAAAGAGAGAAAAATCGACGTCAAGGATGACGGCGAAGAGAGAGGGAAAAAGAGCGCAGGGTCAAGGGGCGAAGGGAAGAGAGGTCTCTCTTACGTTTCACGGATGCGCGCGCGCATGACTCATGCCTTCATGAATGAAAGGTTCTTCTGGTCTCCTGGCGCTCGAACGCCGCTCTGGTTCAATGGTCCACCGGAAACGCCTGGTTACACCCCGTTTCCGCTCGCGGGGACCCGCTACTTTACTTGCCGTGAAATAACGGAATGAAATGCAACGGCGCGACACACAACCGGAACAAGAACGCTCGGAAATCCATCCGAACGACGTAATCGCGGAAATTGCGTTTTAAACCGATCATTACGCGGATGTACTCTCTACGGCGCAGTCGAGGAATACAAACTCGTCAATTTTCAATTCCCTGTTGCGATATTATCAAATGTTACAAGCAATATATTTACGACTAACGCCGAGAAAGAAGAGAAATAACAATAAAGCGAAGTACAAACTTCATAAAGAAAAAGAAAATTGAATCCGATGTGCCGGAAATGTTTTGCGGTTAAACGAAGGAAACTTGGTTGTTATTCAGCGAGAGCTCTGTTGCGTATCCTACTCTTGTGTTCGTTCCTCGAAACCTGGAGAGCAGATAAATCTCCGTCCCCGGTACTCACCGATGAAATCGAACGCCTCTTCGAAGTACTGCTTGAGGTTCTGATGGCCCGAGTCGGATGCGGGTATCTGTCTGTACGTGATGCCCCGCTCTTGATGGTAACCGGGTAGCTGCGAGGTAACGTTCAGCACCCGGGTGGCGCCGAGGGCGCGCAGTAACTGCAGATCCGCGGCGTCCCGGCCGTTGCCGAGGTACAAGAACGGCAGGACGCGCGACGCCGGATGGCTGTCGATGTCCGTCGGTTGCGGGGTGGGCGGTCCGGAGATGCTCAACACTGGGCAACCTGGTCCGCGGCTCGCGCAACCGCTCACCGTCGTCGTCAGAGTCGTTGACGAATCGGCGGCCGCGGTGCCGTTCGGCAGGAGCGTGTCCTCGCACAGTTCTCGATGCCGCCTGTGAAATTCCCGGTGTCCACCTGGAAACACGCGAAGCAACACGTGAGTCAAGCAGGTGTCAACATTTCGTCGAAACGCTCGCGGATAGATGACGCAAAAGATAATTTTCAATTTTGTTCCCTCTGATGACTTCGAGTTTTTATTTTATTTTATTTATTTTTTTTCAAACATTTATCTTAAAATATCGCGTTTTTTCTGCAACTGAACATAAAGATATAATATTGGGGATAATAATTGAGGAAGAAAAATGTGTCTTGAGAAAATTATTCGATGAATTGCCGCGAAGTGGGACGATTACGAGAATAGCTCGCGTTCAGAAGCAGTTCCATTTCTAAATGATTCACGCAGCGAAAGTCAAAGCGCGAATAAATATGTACCGTGTGTATACGTGCATGCTGCTTTCAGACGCATATATGGATATAGCATAGACCACTAAAGCGCTTGGGCTATGTATCGATAAACAATGAGCACGCGTACATAAGTCCGGTCACGATTCTATATCTGTTGGAAATCGCATGGGAGAGAAACGGTCCCCCCGTCGAGCCAATTTAGTGATTAATTGTGCGTCGCGTGAATACATTTCGCGTGTGTGCTGAAAGTACAACAGATTTTTTAAAAGTTTTTTAAAAGTATTTCTTTCGCAAATGGAAATTTTTAAATTTCATAGAATGTAAATGCGAACATTTCACATACACTTGAGATGCAAATCAACTACGAATTTTATTTGTTAAATTCAATTCGAACGTTCGTGTGTAATTTACGCGTTAAAAAAAAAAAAAAAAAGAAAAACTAAACGTACATATAATTGCACATACATCCGGCGTGCATTGGCTCGTATCGACCTTAGTTGTTGTACATTTTCACGAGCTTTTAAATTGTTTTAAAAGTATAATTGCAACTATCACCCGCTGTTTCGTCGTCAACCAGCCTGACGTTCTCGCGCGTTAGTCACCGATACTTTAATTGCATTTTCCAAAATTGGAAGGCGTTTTTTTTTTTTTTTTTTTTTTGCTTTTAACGAACGATCGAATATTCGTTAAACATCACAGAGAGAAGATTTCGAAAGTATCAGACTACGTGATTTAAATGAAATCTGACGAGAGAATCACACGCGAGCAAACGGAAAAGGTCGAATACGTGAGAAGCACGTATCTCAAGAAAGTTCAAGCACCCGCAGTTCAGAAACTCGCGTAAGATTTCATAATCTCAGAGATCGGACAGATCTCAAGATTAGGAACAAAAAGATGGTCGTATAAAAATTCGAGATCTCTTTGTAAGAAAAAAAAAAAAAACGTCGTAGAAAATTTCGGAGAAGTTGTTGATCGAGGAGATTCTCTCGGAGAGGCAAAGGAAAACGCGGCGCAAAATGAGAAATCTTTCTTCTTTCAATCTGATTTGGAGAAAAATGAAGAGTCGATAAAATCTCCCGTTTTTTTAAGGGCTAGTCTCCCCCTCGCGTTTCCTAATTTGTTTACTTCTGCTGAGAAGCATATGGCACTCGAACTCGGGGAAGACCTCGAGATCGTAATGATAAACGAATAAAGAAGCAAAAGCGGAAAAATAAGGGGAAATAATAAACGAAGTCAGTTTTTTAAAGCGCAAAATCGCACTCCAGCTACAGACTAGAGTACAACATGATATCGGAACGCAATAGTACTGGAATGACGTTCAAATTTACAGATGTACTTCGATTTGTTAATTGAAAATTATTACAACATTCTAGTGTGTATGTGTGTGTGTGTGTGTACATTTGCTATTTTTGTGTTTCTAAGAACGTCACTTTCTACGTGTCTTTTTGTGTTTCGAGTCATTGAAGAGAAAACAGCTGAACGTTTAATGTGTGCGGTTTTGAAATATACGAAACTCTATCTTGGCTGTCGTAAGTTCCTCTTATTTTCCAGTTCTTTTCTTTTCGATTTTCGAGAAAGGTTGTAACAAACGTTGCAAAAGGAAGACTCGAAAGCAGTTTCTCGCCAACTGTGACCGTTATACGAAGCGGTCTTGCAACGCAAAGACGCGGATAAAGAACGGAATATAACGCAAAAAAAAAAAAAGAAAAAAAGAAAAAACAAAAAGAACGAAAAAACAGTACAGAATGAAAATGAGCGGAAAGGAAGAAACGGGCTGAGAATAAACGGACGGCGGGATAAAAATAAAGAAACGCGGAGAACCGCGTGAAAAGGAGAGAGAAGACGAGAAAGAAATGTAGGCTAAAAGTGTCTTCCTCTCCTGACCTGCGGCTGCTAAAGACTGGCTCGGCTCAAGGATGAGTCACTCGTTACTCCCTCCTCGCCCGTGTACCCTGTCCTACTATACTCGTCGGTTGGCTCGCGCGGCGCGGCCACCAACCCCAAACTGTCGTCGCCAATCATTATATCCCGATGTTGGCAAGGTTCCTTTTCGATTTCACGACTTCAAAATGGTATTACGATATAATACTATGAGTAATACTGCTAATAAAACACTCCATATATGTATCGACACGTTTCTCCGAAAGTTGCTAAAATTTAACAAGAAGCTTTCGCGAACGTTTACAAATTTCACATCTCTCTTTTGTAACTTTTTTATGTAATTTTCCATCTAATAATTTAATTAATTTCTCTCAAATGGGAATTAAATTCATTTGATAAATTTAAAAATTGAACACATGTGACGTGCACACAAGAACCGTGTAAACTTACATCGATATAGATCGTATATAGACTTTTTTGTTGCAAATACAGTTAATAAGTGAAAAGTAGAGTCGTTTCGGACATAAAAGAAATGTATACTCTCGAAACGACATAACGCTCGTACTTAGTGGCGTTTGAACGTGGCGGAAAAGCCGAATGTGGGTCACTTCATTTAGGTCGATATAGACGATGAAGTAATTGATGCGCGATTTATGCGAAAATCGCGCAATCCGGCCGTCATATCCGATATATAGCTGTAATACAGTCTGCTGTCTTAAATCACCACACACGTCTTTCAAACAAGAAATTTGCGAAATTAGCGCGTGTACGCGGAACCGGGATTGTTTACCACTGTAGAATCCGTACTTTTGCTGACATCAAGAAATTTTGTTATTAAATATAGAATCGTTTCGAAATAGAAAGAAAGAAAGAAAAAAAGAGAGAGAGAAGAGAGAGAAGAGAGAGAGAGAGAGAGAGAAAATGCCGTGAGTAATCCGCATAAAACCGAGTAACAGGAAAAAGAAGATATTCTCGTAGAACTAAATTTGCAAAGTAAAGAAAAAATAATCGTGTTTGCGCGTAAAACTATTTTACTATTTTTAAATATTTCATTAAAAAAAAAAACAAAACAATGAATAATATTATGACTTTTAACTTTTACGATTAAGATACACGAGATGTGTACAGGAATTGATGAATTATACGTAAATTCCTTTCGACACAATCACACCACGTAACCGGATTTGTGGCACAAATTTTCCCTAAGGAAAACCGCGCGCGTTTTTTTATTACGTTATCGATAGATAACGTGGCAAAAAAGAAACGCGATATTTCTCCTTGTGTTTACTTGCACAAGATTAAAAAAAAAAAACAAAAAAATCACATATCTACAGATACAAAACATGATTGATTCTCTTATACGGGAATCTCTCAAAAGATAAGTTGCAGTTTGTAAGTACTTTTTTTTTAAACACCAACACACAAACCCAAGTTTAAAGATCTACTTGTCAAAGATCTGAGATAAAAAGTTCGATAAAATTTGCGGAGAAAAGATTCAACTTCGATCTGCAATTTTCTTCGATATATGTTTTGTTTGTGTTCCAACACATTTTTTAAACGGATAAGTTCAGAGCGCAGATGTTTATTATTCTAACAAAAGCCGATATACAAAAAATAATATTCTAAATTCTTTCGTCACAGCCGTGACATCATCGAAACGATGATTCAGAAACACGAAACCGAAATACCAATCGATTAACAACAACAATCGGAGCAACAAGTTTACAAACCAACGAGAGGAATACAAACGATCGCGCGCGCGCCGCGTATCCGAGTCGATTTTGGTCCGATAATCCAATTTGAAAATATTACGTTGTGACTCATTTTATTTTGGTGTTTTTATCCTCTTTCTAAGAAACTTTCTCGTCACAAAATGATGATGTCACGCACGTGCTCCGGTACCCAAGCAAAACGCTTACGTAAAAACAAAAAAAACACATGAAGCATTTAAAGAGAGATACACCGTTAAAAATTATTTACTAATCAAAGAAGAAAACAACAATTGCAACAAGAAAAGAGAAACTCTCGAGCTTACCCCAGGAAAAATGCTCCTCGAACGGCAATCTTAGCGGGAGCACAAGGCAAGACGCGTTTTTTCTCATCCTCATGTTTGAGAGAAATTCTGAACACACCGTGGAATCGTTTGCCAAAGGCTCTCCTCTCACCTCACCATTTGACACAAAATTCAGAAAATAAATAATCTCTGTCGCGAGCGTATGTCGATATATATATATATATATATATATTTTTCGACTATAACGCGCAAGTTTCGAACACCGACTGTACAACAATCAAGCGCTACCGCGATTGGCGGGAGACTGCGCGCTGACAGCGCGAAAGAGTTTACACGAGGCTCCGCTCGCGGATGAGTCACCGCGGGACGCGTCGATTGGCCGGCTGGCCACCATAGCGATCACTGACGTAGTGAATCGTATCCGAACGTTCCCGAACGTACGCGATGTCATGCGACGCGCCACAGCGTCTTGCTGCTCGTGCCACGACTGATGCAGTCACCTTTTCTTTCATGGAAGAATGTACTGGGTGATCCATGAAACACACACCGACGCGTCAGCGTCTCGCTTTATGATCTCATATATGTCTCGAAAGTGTTGTCATTGTTTTTAGTCAAACTTCGTAAGAATATCGGAATTTTCGCAGAGTAAAGACATAACAATTGCCGCAAATTTTCGCGAGTAATTTAAGTGACGCAAATGTTAAGGAAAAGAGAAAGATTTATATGCAAAACTATAAAAATTTTTAACGATTTTTGCTTTGAAAACAAAATGTGT